GAACCGATTAAAATTCGTTTATGCATTAAAATGAATTTTAATCAGCTCGAATTGAATTTTAACTGACCTAAATTTTGATATATAAAAAATGAATTTTAATCATCGTGGCCCGAATTTTGATATATAAAAAATGAATTTTAATCATCGTGAATTGAATTTTAATACATAAAAAAATTAAAATTTTAATAAACTCGAATCGAATTTTAATTGATAGTACCAACTCAAGTTGAGCTCAAATCGACTCGAATTTTAATACTTAAAAAAAAAAGAATTTTAATAAGCTCGAATTTTAATACGTAAAAAAAATTTAATAAGCTAAAATTGAATTTTAATCGGCTCAAATTTTAATCAAATTTGAAGTAGAAAAATTGTTTGAGATTTATATAACAACATTTTAGATGAATTTTTCTAGTTGCTGGATCCTGAAACCAATCGATCCAACTCCCGATTCGCCTCGATTATAGTGGTTTACGATTTTTCATTTGATCCAGATCAATTTTTTACTTTCGTGGAATCATGGGATCGTACGAGTAGAATCGCAATTTTAATAACTTTGGACGATTGAGATTTTCATATCTAATATAACACAACGTTATACCATGGTCTCTCCTCATAGTCTAATTATGTGGTTGAAGAATCAGCCATGACAACCAACCTAAGAGATAAAATATAAAATATTAGCCCAATCTACTTTCTTGGTGAAAACCTATCAAACAAAAACAAGTAAAACGATGCTTCTTGCTCCCATATTGTGAAAGTCATAAAGTAAAAGAATAGCTCAACCAATACATTCACCTACGATTAAATATCAAAATTATTCCACTGCCCGACAAGAGATGCCAATGAAATCATATTTCCAATGAGAAATGACAACAATAATTCAGAAACTATAAATATTGATACTGGTGGATTTAAGCCTCAATTTCTCTAAAATTCAAAATTCTCTACGAAGAAGGCGGCTCAAGTAGCTCATTTAGACAACATTCACTGGGCTGGAACTGGACAACGACCTAGTTCTAGAGATGCTGATGATAATAAGCTCGGTATAAGAATCAACTCCATGCTAACGAGCTCGATATAAGTATCAGTTCGGGGGATGGGAGCACAGCACTAGGCCAATCTGCAAAAGCCACAGCATGACACGTGGATAGGGGGACAAGGGAACATTACCTGATGACTCTAATGAAGAAAAACCCTCAAGTAGTGCAGACGGATCACGTACTGCAGCCGGCGAGTGGTGGGTGCAGAAAGGCGTCAGGGACCACAGCTCCAGGACATAGACAAATGCAGAGGAGACCACAAAATTAATAAAAAGGGATCATCACGAAACCCTAACGATTAGATGTTTAAATAGCTAACAATGCTACAGTGCATGAGAGAGCCATTCATAAAACTATCCAGCAAAATCTAGGCAATATTCTATAAAAGGCTTCAAGTTATACACCTTGTAATAATAATTTTTTTTCCCAAGCAATAAAATTCTCATGGAACAAGAGCCTCCCTTATAGTGGATATAATCTTAATCTATCGGCTAAAGCAAACCACTCAAACCGTCGTTATCTTCATCTTACATCATACACATTGCATTCACGCACACACTCTTGTTGGGCAACATCCCACATTGTTCTGCAGTTTAGTCCAATCAATTTTGAGCACCATCAGCTTGACCGTCTGTGAGAACAATTTTCATCGTTTCTTCTTAAGTTTTCTTTATCCATTTGTTAGTTTGATGGTCTCTACTCGAAATGTGTGTAAAACTCATGCAAACCAGCAGACCATGTAGAACCAGCAAGGTACCGTCCATGAGAACTAGTTGGGAAACCTCCCGATCCCAACGATAAACATTAAGAATGACACTCCGACATGGGCCCAGCTCTTATCAACGAGTTGGAAACATACTGTCGAACCACAATGCAGTTGGTAAAGCAAAACCATGACCTCGTAACATGGATCTAGGCACATCACCTCCATTAGGCCCCACTCACGCCACCTCTACAACCAACTCAAAATGACCATCATCTTTAGGATCGTCAAAACCTACCACCACCTAATGGAGTCACGGATCTCCATGACCATAGCCACTCAGGAGAAAACCGCTATCGATGACAACCAAAAGAGAGAACAGACGACAAGGCTCACAGCCTTGACAGAGTCGTTCCATGAAAAGATTGCCTCCCTCCTGCCCAACATGACACCATGGACAATTTCTGGGAGTAAAGGTATCGAGACATAGTCCAAAGAACTTTTCAGTCTAAGGGCTTTTCAATTTGGGTACTCGCAGGCTCTTCTACCTTCAAAGTGTTCCTCAACTCTTAGAAGTGCGAGCTCATTAACCACACGAGCTCGATTAGGCTTTTAGCGCGATTGATCACAGGCTTTTTAGCCTCCTCGATCAAAGGCACGAGTTATTCAGCTGCGCAACTTCAACTAGGCTTTTTAGCTCGATTAATCACAGGCTCTTCAACCTTCAAAGAGTTTTTCAACTATCAAAGGTGCGAGCTTTTCAGCCATGCAACCTCAACTATGCTTTTTAACCTAAGAGCTTGATTAGTCATATGAATTCAAATTATAAAGTAATTTTATGTATACCATGTAATTATTAATTGAACAAATATATAGAAATTTAATTATTCATTGAACAAATGTAATTATTAATTGAACATAATTGATTGTCAAAAGAAATATGCATGATTTAAGGGCAGACAAATATGTCAAAAGAAAATCACACAAAGTCAAATTGTGTACTTGAACACAATTAAGTTCTAAAAATAAGGATTTAATGACCTAATATTAAGAGTTATGTATTTTTTAATAAATAATTCTAATTTTGTGTCCCTTCTCGTAATTTCCCCTCTTTTGAGGCTCAACAATTGGCATGAGGCCCTAAAGGTTGGCCCTAATCGTCAAATGTCCAGGCTGCAAGTGACTTGATATCCAGATTTGGGTCTAAAATTTTTGGATTGAGTGGTCCAACAGATTGGCCCGTTAAGGGTCCATTGAGCTATATTGCACCCCGAGTTCACCAATGAATGGTCAATTTCAATTTTTGCAAAAGATAACCATTGGATCAAATAATCCAATGGTAAAATTTGAATTCTTTTTAAAAGTTTAACTAATTTACAAAAATGTCAAATAGATAGGCTAAAATTTTCTCTCAATAATTTTTGAACTCTCGTCCAAAACCCCGACACTGATTTTTTGTCCACCATTGGTCAATCTAGTTCCTATATGAAAACAAGAAAAAATTTAATTACCACAAGTGTACACTGGAGAAAAAGTCTAACTTTTGTATGTAGTATTTTCTTCTTGTTTTCAATTTTAATACCAACTTTAAATTTAATTATTTTTTGAAATAAATATTTATGTTTAATTTAATTATTTTAAAAAAATAAATTATCAATGTGAAAAAAAGAGAGAAAAATAGATAAAGAGAAAATTGGGAAGAGAGAGTAGTAGAGTAATAAATGGCATTAGTCTTTTTCAAAAAAATGCATTTAGGATCAAATAAGTTTCCTTAATATAGTTTAACTTTAATAAGTTTAAATTTGTGTACTAACTTTCAAATTACCCAGTTTTTTGGCTGAGTACAATTTTTTGATTTATTTGAGAAAAAGTATATGGATAAGTTATTTACTTTATTAAGTTTAATTTTAATAAAACATATTGTGTTTAGGTACAAAATTCAAATGAAATTAATTTTTTTTTTACCTAAATACATTCCTTTAAATTATGCATTCTTGATTGATAGTTATATATCTAATCAAATATGTAAAGATTTTATTAGATTATCTCACTATCTCTCCCTTATTTTCTCTCCATCTCTCCCAATTTTCTCTCTACCCATTACTTTTCCCATCTCTCCTCTATTTTCTCTTTTTATCTATCATTGATAATTTATTTTTTTTCAAATATGTAAAGATTTGATTTATTTTTTCATCTCTTTTCCGTATTTTCTCTCTTTCTATCTCCCCCTATTTTCTTTAACTGTTTTTCTCTCTATTTATATCAACATTTTACAAACAACACAATTACACTAATTAGTTACACAAATCAGTTACAATTGTCTTATAATACACATGCGTTATAATAAACGAAACAGTTACACAAAACAATTATACAAAATTATAACACTAACCAAATTTATCATTTGGTTATTTACATAAACTAAATAGTTATACTATTTAGTATTGCGACATCGTTACATCAATTATATACACCAAATTTAGTATAATTGTAAAATTTTTTCTATAATGAAAAATCCAACTTGGTGTATATAATTGGTATAATCATGTCGTGATACTAAATGGTGTAACTCTTTAATTTATGTAAATAACTGAGTGATAAATCGGGTTAGTGTTGTAATTTCATATAGTTTTGATTTATTAGAACACGTGTATAATTGTTTGGTGTATTATAATGTAATTGTAATTAATTGTGTAAGTAATTAGTGTAATTGTGTTGTTATAATGTTGATATAAGGAGAGGGAAAAATGAAGAGAATGGGGAAATAATGGGAGAGAGAGTGAGAGAGAGAAAAAATAGGAGAGAGTGATGAAAAAATTAAATTAAATCTTTACATATTTAAAAAAAATAAATTATCTATGTGGGAGAAAGAGAGAGAAATAGATAGAGAGAGAATAGGAAGAGAGAGTGAGAGAGTAATAAATAACATATTAGTTTTTTTTCAAAAAAATACACTTAAGGTTAAATAAGTTTTTTTTAATGTAGTTTAACTCAAATAAGTCTATTTTTTTGTATTGAATTCCAAATTATCCAAAGTATAATTGTTTAGGGCCATTACGGCCGGTCCAAATGTTGGCCCGTTAAGGGCATTTGGGAAGGCCATGGACCAGCCCGAGCCCGACCCATTGAACTGGATAAGTAAATGAGGTCTGGTCCCTGGCAGGCAATGGGCCCAAAAATAAGCCCGGCTCCGGCCCGTAGTTGAGGCTTACCAACATCCCCCGTCGCCCCCACACACCCCCCCCCCCTCTCTCTCTCTCTCACACACACACAAACTTGGTTGAGTTCAAGCGTCTATTTCTGTACTCGCGCTAACTCCCCTCCAATTCCTCTCTGAATCCCAACAGCCCAACAAAATAAAATCGAAATTCCAAAACCCTAGAAAGACACAACCAATCATAAGTCTGGAGGGCTAAACCATATAGACATTCCTATAGCTAGACCTATATACGTATAGAGAGAGTGAAACTCTGATCGATACCCTACAAGTCCGCAGTGGACCGATTAATGGCGTCGTCGAAGCTGTTGGCTTCTTCGACCTCGCGAAATTCGGATCTCAGACGCAAATCTTCTCTCTCTTCTTCCTCCACAAAATCCTCAACGATCTCACAACTTCACACCAAGCACAACCATACAAATTCAATGACCGTCGACGGATTCTTGCGCAACGTCTACGACACCAATCACGCCTCCGAAAACACATTACTGGACGCCGAAATCACTCTCCTCGACGCCGCCGGTGCCGTCACTGCTATAAGCGATAACGAGGCGGGCCCAACTTCGACGCCGATAATCCGGCGGCAAGAGAGTGTGCCGAGAAAGACTCTGGACGATGTGTGGAGGGAGATAGTGGAGGGAAAGAGAGAGAGGAAGGAGTGTAAAGAGGAGGCGATGGATGAAATGATGACTTTGGAGGTATTTTTGGCCAAGGCAGGGGCGGTGGAGGAGGAGGAGGACGTGAAGATTGAGACGGAGACGTTGAGCGGAGGGGTATCTGCTTTTGATAGTCCGGTGGTTCCGGCGCGTCCCGCTTCTTTTGCGGGGACGCCGGCGGCTACACCGAGTTTGGATGGGGTGAATGTGGTTGGGTATGGGAATGGAGTGGAGGTGATTGGAGGAAGAGGGAAGAGGAGAGGGACGATTTTGGAGCCGTTGGATAAGGCAGCGCAGCAGAGGCAAAAGAGAATGATTAAGAACCGGGAGTCTGCTGCCAGGTCTAGGGAGCGAAAGCAGGTAAAATTTGGGGTTTTGACAAAATTTTGTTTTGTGGTGTTGCAGTGTTGTGTCTTCTTACTGAATTTTAATTGAATTTGATTTTATGGGTTGAATGTAGGCATACCAAGTTGAGCTAGAATCAATAGCAGTGAGATTAGAGGAGGAGAACGAGAGGCTGTTGAAAGAAAAGGTGCTGTTTCCATTTATTCTGTTAAATACATTTGGTTCATGTGTTATTAATGGATGCAATATTTGGCATTGTGTTTCCTGGTTCAAAATTATGGTGTCATGTTGCAGTCTTTGTTGCTATATAATTGGAAGTCATCTATGTAATTGTTGGGCATGCTTAAATGTGAGTGTAGTGAAGAATCTGAATTTTATGTATTTGAACTGGATGCTTCTCTCATTGCCAAGATAGAATGGGTGGACTTAAAACGCCAAAAAATTGGGTAAGAAGATATTTCATTGTTTGTTGAAACTTTGTGTGCACGGTGCTACGATAACAAGAATTTGCATGGTGTGAAGCATGTTTGATATCAGCAGCTTTGATATGTGTCCTGTCCCGAAAATAGAGATGGCCACCAGTGTCATCAACACTAGTTTTTCTGATGTGGTCTCGGCACGGGTCTTTCCTTAAGTACAATTAATACATCTTACTTGGCAGTCCACCTTATAATTTATTGGGTGTTTCATCAGTTGCCTGTAATGTGATAATTGACAGTCTTATATTGTCGAATTCTCACTCATCAAACTTAACATCTTATTGGCTGTTCGCCTCCTGGAAGATGATACTTCTTCGATTTGCACCTAAGTGCTGCACCATACAGAGCGGTTATGAAATGCAGCGTCAAGTGATATTGTTGAGTCACATTTCAGGCGTCATTAATTGGACATTAATTTGTGAGATATATGCTTATTTCTGGCTCTTTATGGAACTATCAGTGAGGGAAACGACAACTATTGCTCCGCTTTATCTCTTGACAATCATTTTGGCCCACTTGCCGCTGACCATTATATCATGCAATAATTTTAATTGATGTTGTTCGCTTCTTTGGGGTCAAATCCACTGATGTCATTTTGTTGCAGCATGAATTAATGATTGCCAATATTACCTTACTTGGTTTATGAAAAGACACATTCACAAATGACATTCACTGACACACCTTTTATGAGATATCAATATTTTGATAAGAGAGTTCATATGGACTCTTTTGATGGCATAGTAGTTTTTTTTGCTGAACCAATCATTGTTTATGTCTTTTTACCTCTTAGCTCGAGGTGCAGCCGTTGTTATAAAACTTGGAATAATCTCTCTTATAGCAGAAGACATATGTACCCTCATGAAACATATATTTTTGAAGATATATTTGGAGAAAAATTATACAATGACATGCCTCTCTGTTGGTACATGGGATATTTCATGATACTTGATGGAAAAAAATTATGGGCCTGTTTGGTTTGCATCTTAAAAAACAGTATCTGAAAACTATTTTTAGGAAGAGTTTTAAAAAAGTGTTTTTAAAAATTTTTAAATTGCAAAACTTGTTTGGTTATATATTTTTAAAAATAATTTTAAAGAACAAAAATTATAAAATTTATTTGGACAATAATCCACAATTCCCACATCTCCTTCAACTCTCTGTCTCTCTGTCTCCTTTCAACTCTCTGTCTCTCTTTTTCACCACCCAATAACCCACAACCACCCAAAAAAGAAGTTGAAGTAGTGAAAGCGAACGGTTAACTTCTTCGGGCTCATCATCAAGCCAGAAAGCTGGATCAAAATTATTATCATCCGGGCTTCCTTCAACCAACAAATTATCACAATTAAATGATTTTTTGAGGTTTGATTGTGTAGGAACTGGAAATGGGTGTTGCTGAAATTCAAACTTTGAAGCCTCGAAGCTATGAATTAAGAAAGTTTACAAGGTTCTTACGTGCAACCTTCAAAGAGATAGCTTTGAAGACAGCGAGATTAGGGAGAGACAAATTGAAAGGTACTTCTTAAGAATTAGGGCTCTAAAAGGTTTTGTAAGATTGAGGTATTTTGCAGTGAAAGAAAATTTTGAGAATGTTGGCGGAGGAAAATAGTGCAAATTTGGTGAATTTTGGGAGTTGGGGATTTGATTTTTGGTTTGAGGACGGAAGAGGCGGTGAAGGCAGTGAGGTGGCGGAGGCAGTCTCTCTTTTTTTGTCTCCAATGAAACTCGAAGGGGAGACTTCATTAATTTTGAGATAGGTTGTTTCCCTTGTTTTCATTTTGCCTTAGAAAACAATGAGAGCATCATTTAGTTGTTCCCTAAAATCACATTTTATTTTTCAAAATTTTCAGAAAATTGGAGAACAAAAAAGCTAAACAAATAACATCTCCTTGTTTTTAGAGTTTTGAGAACAAAAAATTGTTTTGAAAACCAAACCAAACTGTTTTTGTACTGCGTTCCCTGATTGGAGGTAGATTAACATTGTGAAAGTAATGAGAATTCTGCAACTTAGAATATCTAAATTACATTTTTATTAACACAATGTCAGATTCTGAACCTTGTTACATAATTTGGGAGAGGAAATATGCTTCCATTCATCTTACTTCTTTGTCTTTCTACCTTACCTGTGAACTAACTGAGAAAGTGATATATATGACGAATTTTTAGATTCAAGGGTATATGTGATCTTATACCTATGTAAGCTTGCTGAAAAAATTAAAATTACAAGAATATTGTCCTCCCTTTCTGAAATTTTGTACTTTTTTTGACATGGAAATATTGTCCTTTTTCTTAGGTAACGAAGTAGTGTACTTTATTACAAAACAAGAAACAATTATGCTTCAATTGGCTACATGTGCTTGCAAGCCTATTCTCTTCAATTATGTTTGCTTAAAAAACAAGTATCTAATTCAACTAAAGAGATCATTGCCCCAACTTTCTTTTCTGTTTGTGTTGCTTAGTTAGATTTGTTGACTTGGGTCAAACAACTACTTAATGCTGGAACTTTATGGTTGCTCTCTTTAGGTTTTGAGCTGGTTCCATATTATTGACTATGTTGTTTGTTGGAATGCTTTGGAAAGGATATGTAAAGCAGGAGCTTATAGATTTGATCATAGTGCATTCTGTTTGTGCCAACTTCTATCTAAATTTTTCATGTTGGTGTTGGAAATCAATGTCAACTGTTGTTGAAAGTCTATGCACTGGTGCTATTGTTTTCGCATAGGTGTTTTCATCATACTCTTTTGGCCTCTCACTTCAAATATGTTAATTTCTTTTAACTGTTCTCATACATTGAACTAATAGACGTGTTTCATAAAAAATTTGTTGCAGGCTGAGCATACCAAGGAAAGGTTTAAACAGGTATGTTTAATTTGATCTTTATGATGTAGTGCTTCTCATAGTTACACAAAAAGCCGTCGTGTTTTGATCAGTGGAAGTATCCGAAATAGAAAATCTCTTTATGAATGTGCATCATGCAAGTTTGTAGTGTATATGTGAGGGAATTGGGTGCTCCAGACCAGGAGAAAATAATAAATGAAAAGAGAACGGAAGGAACCCTTCCTTTTCCTTATTTATAAATGGAAGCATATGTGCCAAACACTTTTTGAGCATAGTATGGAAAATTTTCAATTATTTATCAACAAATTTATAGAAAGAAATAAGAAAAACAAAGGAAGAAAAAATCTTATCTAAATTATATAGAATTTTAGAAAGGAAATCTTCCATTAAAAGCTTAAAAAGAACCAAGGAAAAAGGATACCATCATTCTGAGAGTTAATTCAATCTTACTACTAGTTACCTTCTTTATGACAACCTCAAAGACTTTAATTTTTCAATACAGAGATATGCCGTTTATCCCTAAATTTGAGTTCCTTTCAGGACCTCCAACTTTGTGAGGGAGGATGCATCCAACGTTTTGGTCATTTCGGTGGAAACAAAACAAATTTTGATCTTTGAACATAGTATTATGAATAGATTTCGGAGATGATAATGAAAGTCTCTATTGCACTTGCTTGATGGATGTTACTTTTGGCTGAACATTGTTGTGATCTGAAAGCAATACAATGCTTGGCATGGCTTTTGCACTTTCCTCTGTATTTCATGGTTGCATGAACTCCTATATTTTTATTCTCCACATCATTCGTCACCTTCTTTGGTTTGTTTGGGACTGTTGATAGGTCGTGTTAACAGCTGACATGATTCTTTTGTTAGAGTTATGTACTATAGGATATTGAACTACAAGATGCTTGCTCTATAATATGGTTTTCCCTTTGTCTTAAGTATAGTCTTTGCTTTATGCCTTCTGTGCATTAAAACAGTAGTGCACTCTTCCAATAAAAACTTTTTTTTTGGTTGCAGTGGTAGTTCCTTTTGGGATGGTTTACTACATTGCACTTATTGTAGTTAGCCACATGTGATAATGGAAGACATTTGAAGGCACCGGTAAAAATGCATATACAAAAAGTACAAAAATTTTCTAGCTGAAAACCATTGGCCATAACTAGTGTTTTACATACAAAGTCAAAAGTTTCTGCCACATGCAGATTTATCATGTACCAATGAATCAATTTCTTTTTGTAAGTTTATTACTTAGGTTATATCATTGCTCGGAATGGTGTTCAGCAAAACACAGCTCAGTTCTCATGGTTATGATCACCCGGGTATCTATGAATAATGTGATCACATATTCATTGCCTTCAGGAAAATTTGACTGTGAGTATTAAAAGGACAAAAAAGGAAAAGTGGCGGCCTTGCCTGGGGGGGGGGGGAACAATGTTAACCATTAGGAGGTATCATCTTTGGGACATTCAATGTGCTATTTGCTTGTACCTTGGGGTGGTTCATTTTTTCAATGTGTGTGTTCTGCTAATATCTGTACTATACTCCTAATTGAACCGTTTCTAGTGTTCTTTGTAATCTTTTCTTTAAAATTCATGTAGCTTACTTGTAAACAAAGACAAGATGGTAATTCACAGAGATGAACTGTGACAAATTATCCATAATTCTCACTCATGACAAACTTAGTAGGATTGAAATATAAGGAATATGTGACAAGAATAACTGCACGGAGAAGGGGGCAATTGGGTGAGGCAAACAGCATCCATATGGTGTGTGCCAGCCTTTGCTTGTGCACAGTCAATTTTTTTTTTTTTTTGTTTGTTAAATTTTCTAAGATATTTTAACTTTGTGGGCTTCTATTTGAAAATGCAAAGATAATGTGTATTTGGAACAATGGGGGGCCCTTATTTTTCCTATTAATCTTTGATTAGATGGCTGAAATTAGAAATGTTGCTTTAATGCGTTATTCAATGCAGTGTACTAAGTTATATCCATTGGTTATGAATGCCTTGGAGTATGGAGGAACAAGATGCTCTACATGACATTGTGAAGGAGGCACACTAGTACCTCATTAGTCATTAGTTTTTTAGGTTCCATTGAAACTAATTAAAACTTCAGCATTGGCTTTGGCACAGATATATTTATCAGCAAGGAGACTAAAGGAACTCATAGGAAGGAAAAAGTAGTTGGGGGTGGTATCATAGCTAGGGGGCAAAACCATTGCATTACTGACTTTGTAATTGGTTTTTCCTGCAGCTAATGGAGAAAGTGGTCCCAGTTGTGGAGAAGCGAAGACCAGCACGTGTCCTCCGGAGGGTTCGCTCCATGCAGTGGTAATTATATATACATGCAAGTATTGTTGAGTTGGAGATTAATGACCCTTATCCAACTTGTGGAGAAGAGAAACTGAGGAAACATCATTTCTGCAGAAGTATCTTCATTGAATCAGATGTTTCTGCTAGATGGGTGTTCTTGAGGTTAGTTGTGGTTTCATTTGTATAGAGAAAAGGCATATTCCAATTTAAGTCATGAAAGTCATCATCTAATGAATATGGGACTTCCATGGAGATTGGCAGTGCAAGTGTGTCCATGCAGTTAGAAGGCGTTAAAATACAAGCCTCGTTTCCTCTGGGTACTAATACTAGGTGAGGGAGGATCCTGGACTGGGATAGGGTATTAATGTATTTGCATCCTTTGACAGCTCTTTCAACATCATGTTAATTGGTGATAAAGGTTATATATAATGAGTTATTTGTTCTTTGGTGGACCTTGCTTTCTGATTCATCTTGAAAAGTTCTTAGTGAATGCTTGGAGTTGGTTATTGAAGCTTGTAAATTTTCATTATCTGTACATGTAATTTGATGACAACAGATGTTTGGTATAGCGGTCTCGGATTTCTCATAATAGGGAAAATGAATCGAAAAAGAACCAAGTACAAGTTGGGAGATGTTGGAAACGAACAAGAATCAATTTGATCCCAGGATGATGTGGGAAATGTGTGGTGAATGTATCTGGAAAAACTTGTGAAATACAATTTTTATGATGGCATGGGAAATTTGTGGTAATTGTGACCCAAATTTGTGAAAAGCTCTCTGAGAAATAGTTTTGTCTCCACGGTTCGAAAGTAACCCATTTCCTCTTTTGGGGGGCAGGTTGAGTGTTATTTTCCTAAATATATACAAGGTTGTATGTATATATGTAGGGTGGATCTATACTCAGGTGGCATAATTTGACACTGCAAAGTCTAAAGGGAGATCTTGGATTAGAAGGATATGAAGCATATTTCCTGTATGTATATGGATATATAATGAAAAACATTGATGTGTGTCTTTTATTTTGAAGGAGGGAATGAGAGCTGCCAAGTGACTTGTGGTGATCAAATTCATTAAATTTAAGATGTATGTTTTTAATATAGTTTATCCAATATCATATTACAGTAGCAAGAGCTCAAGAAGAACTAAAATTCCATATCGGTTGTAGCAAGAGGGTCAAATTGATTGATAAGTTTCTATTCACTCCTCGAAAGAACAATGTTATTTTGATTTAATTTATTAACTTAATCATTCATAGTAATTAGATTGATAATGTATCTCAATATTTGTTGAGATTCGCATCTAATTCAATGATTATGATAAATTATGTTAGTAAATTCAGTCTACGTAATGCACTTAAAATAGGTAACAAAAACAATAATACCGTAACCTAGGTTGTTACCCATGCCAACAATAGCTACCAGCCACATGAAAAAAGTCCAAGGCAGAAAAAGAAAGAGCATATGCATATATATGCACCAAAGTCAAGGTGTTGGTCACTTCTTCCTGTGTGTTGTTGTCCTATGTGTTAGCTTATTCTGCAAAGATGGGCTTATTTGGATTGACTTGACTGAGCTCCTTCTATTGCCATTTATTTAGCTTCCTCAAAGTACTAACATTTTAGCATTTATTTATGAGATACAAAATCTTAATTCTATTGTTTTTAAGGTGGGAATGACTCGGACATTTCGAAATCTTCTCTGACCTCTGTCTTTTTTGTCATCTTCTTCTTGTTCTGATATGCTTTCTCTCCTTTTAGTGTACTGGGAGATTAGGGCAGGGCGTGTGGTGGTCATACTGGTGGTGGTCTCTGGTGTTTAGCAGGTGTCTCCAAGTGTACGGCCGATGGAGCTTGGAGCCTTGGACTTTGACTGCCTCTGCCTTGGTCCCAAGCCCCAAGTTTTTCACCAATGACTCAATTTTTACTTCTTACTTCACTCCTAAATCTACAACTCAACGGCGGAGATGTTAATAAAATTTCGGTCCCCTATCGATATTTATTATATTTGTTATAATTTTTACTATTATTATGAGTATTTTTATTAGAGATGACAGTTGATCGAATAAAAATGGGTATTCTTCTAAACTCGTCCCGTTTAGACTGAGAATAGACCATACGTATTGGACGGTGGACATATACAAGATTACCCATATAAACCCGTGCGAAAATAAAGACGGGGATCAACTGACACTTATCCCCTACCCGTCCCGCTTTACCTGTATATATATATATATATATATATATATATATATATACACACATACATATTATGAATACAAATCTACATATTATTGAATGATTTTTCTTTTGAAAATTATTTTATTTTTTGATTTTTTTTATAGTTTTGGCTTGTAAAAATGTAAATTTTTGTGTTTTTATTTTTTTTTGTGTTGAATTATGTTATGTTACATTATATTGTGTTACATGATATTGTATTGAATTTATAAGGAAGTCAAATTTTTAATTATATTATGTTAGATTATGTTGTAGACAATGTTTTAATTATATTATGTTGTAAATGCCAATTTTTATTTATGTTATAATATTTTATAATTATATTGGATTATTTAGAATGTTAGATTTATTTATAATTTTGGATTATGTTGACTTGAGATTGGGCTTAGATGGGTAAGGTAAATGGGGGTGGGGGCGAAGGTGAAGGCGAAGGATGGGGCAGGGGTGGAGATTGTAAATTTATCCACGGACAGAAATAGAGATGAAAACTATACACGTTAACAGAGGTAGATTGGGGATGAGCAGAGTTTTTTTAAGCAAATACGGGAATAAAAACTACACCCCCGCCCCCCGCTTCAGTCCACTGCCATCTCTAGTTTTTATCATTATTATTGTACTAATAAAAATGATAAAAATAATTACAACAACAATGGTAAATCACCTATAAAAATGGTAATTTTTTTGTACCAAAAAAAGTGATGAAAATATATACAACAATGATAAAAACATATATCAAATTGGTAAATCACTTACAAAAATGATAATTTTTTAATTATAAAATAACTCACAAAAATTATAAAAACATGAATTAAAATAGTTAATTTTGGAGGTATGGTACCAATTTTTTTTCCGGTACCGGTAGTCTTTTTTTTGGTCAGGAAACAAGGAAATTATATTACTTTAAAAAAAACAAAAACAAGAACTCGAAAGAACACTACAAGCCAGAGATTTAGCCTACTCCTACTCTTCTCTCCGAGGCAATTACTCTTCGAAGGCTCACCGGTGGGTTCTCAATCCATTGCCACCTCATTTGCTGATCTTTTCACCGCCCTAAAAATTATTAGTGGTAAATTTCTCGCATAACCCCAAATATCTTGTTGAATTTGCTTAATCCCCTAGATTGTTGCCTCTGGTCCTTCATTGATGGAGTCGATGGTGATCTTTGAGTCGGACTCCACCACTGCTTTGTATCCCTTCGCTACTGCTATTTTGCATGCTCTTTGGATCGCTTCCACCTCTATTGCAAGTGGCGAAGATGCTCACAAAGAATCAGTTTCCCCATGGATTAGGGTTCCCTCTGTATCTCGTACAGCTACTCCAATAGATCCCTGCTTTGTCCTCTCCAAGAAAGCTCCATCGCAGTTGATTTTGTGCCAACAATATGGTGGTTGTTGCCAAACATCGCTTCCACCTCTGTTCAAAGCCTCTGTCTTTTCCCCTTGGTTAAAAAACTCACTGATAGCCTCTACGGCTCTATCGACTGCTTGTTTCGGCCGTGGCTCTTGGTGATGATACACCCAATCATTTCGAGCCTTCAATATGAACCATAGCAAGTAAGCCACCATTGACTCTCTTTGTTTAACCCCCAAATCCCCTTTTCTCGCATCTCCCATCTAGTTTGTGATCCACTTCTCAATCCTTGTGATCTGGTATTTGTCGATTGTCATTTCCAGGGGGGGGGGGGTTCTCCACATAAACATGAACCATGGATATAACAAAAACACATGTTCAAGAGTTTCATCCTCTTCTCCACATATTGGACATGAAGGGTTGTTGATCAGCTTCCTTTTCCAGAGGCTCCATCTTGTTGCCACAGCTCCGTTTGCCACTTTACACATAAAAGTTTTCACCTTTGGGCTAGCTCCAATGTTTCATATAGATTTTCATAGTTGTTTGGGCACTTGATAGGAGGATGATGCCCCGCAAGATGTTTGGATTTTCGTTGAGTTGTGAATCTGGGTATGGTAGCCACTTTTAACCGAGTACTGACCATTTTTGGTATGGGCCTATCTTAGTGTGTCTTTCTGGTGGGAAGGAGGATGCAATAAGGGTTGAATTCCATCTTCTTGGGTTGTCTTGTAAGAGCTCATAAACTTTTTGGATGTTACTATTTAGTGTGTTGGGAATACTCTTGTACCCTGGAACCTAGCTATCACTCCACACTCCCACCTTGTTCCCATCCCCTATTTTCCAATAACACCCCAATTTCAAAAGCTCCCTTCCTTCCACAATCCCTCTCTATATCCATGAGTCTGTAGGTTTAGTCTTTACCTGCCAAAAGGTTTGGCTCATATGATATTTGGCCTTTTAAAATTTGCGCCCATAGAGAGTCAAGTTGCTGCATTTGCCTCCACGCCTGCTTCGCAAGCATCGCCTTGTTGAAACACTCAAGATCTTGGAAACCCATGCCCCCTTCCATCTTCCCCTTTGTCATTTGTGTCAGCTCCTCCATGCTCTGATGATTTACTCCACCAAAATCTCGTGATACTTGTTGTTATCTCCTTACAAAAAGATATTGGGAACTTAAAAATTGACATAGCATAAGCAGAGATGGCTTGAACCATTGCCTTTATAAGAACCTCCCTACGGTATCGTAGTCAAACCCCTCAATTGTGGTATAATTTTTCTACCTATCAAATTTTACTTATCAAATAGAAGTGATAATTTTTGACACGACACGAAAACACAACTCAAAATTAGTGGATTCAACCATTTCTCAACATTTCGCTGTAAATGAAACGACCCGTTAATAATACTAATAGACAAGTTGGGTTAACGTCAAACACAAATAATACGAAATTGACACGATTAACATATTTAGCCTATAATGTATGATTAAAATAATAATTTTTTATTATTTTTTATCAAGTATTTTCATAATTCTTGTACAAAAAAGAAGAAGATGTTTTTACTTATTTTTATTATTATGTCTATTAAATTAATTTTTAGTTTATAAAAAAGATATGAGAGTTTGATAAAGTGATAATAAAATTTTAAACTTAATTTTTTGTGTTAATTTTTTAGTCACAAGTTATATAGATTAACAAGAATACAACACAAAAAAAAATAAGTTGGGTCGACGTGACACGAATAATTAAATGAGTTGAGTTAAAATTAACTAATGTTTAATATGAATCCGTAAATGACACAATACTAACATGACCGACACGACACGATTACCACCTCCAAAATCAAGGCGAATTATTGGATTAGTAGATTTCGAAATTTTTTTTCAATAAGGGTCTACTTATTCAACTCTACACATTAACTCGTGAACAAAAAAAAAACAAAACTATACACATTAATTTAGTATGCAACATTTAGTATACACATCATTACACATTTTAGCATTTTTAGAGCTCATCAGTGTCAGTGGATGAGTGAGATTTTTTTTGATATATTTTTTCTTCAATTTTTTTTTAATAGATCATTTACCATGCATTTAAATGAAATTTATTGTATACAAGTGAGTCCCTCACTCATTAATAATGAACGATCCATCAAGAAAAAAAATTGGAGAAAAAATGTATTTGAAGAGATTTAGATCCATCAGTGGAAATGAACTAGGCCTCACCACTTTAATTTCTTTCGGTTGGCACGACTCCCCTTCGAATTTCTTGTGGCAATGGACATGGTTTAGACCACTCCAACGAGGGGTGGAGCCAAAAAATCTCCACAAGGGCAGGGTGAAGAATAAAGGTATTAATTGAGTTGAATTTTGCGTGTTTGAACTTGAGTCTATTGAGTTTGTTTTTTTAAACGAGTCTAAAAAATTATTCAATTTCTACTTGTTTAGAAAATGAACTAAGCTTCAACTTAGGTCAAACTCGAGTAATTTGATTATTTTAGATATAAATGAGCTGAGTTTTTTTAAACGAATCTAAAAAATTATTCAAACTCAACTCGTTTTGAATATTAGTTGAACTCGAGCCGAGCCGAGCCGAGCCTAATTAGTTGTCTCGTTTAACCCCGAGCGAAGAACCTACTAAAAATAAAGGGGTGAGTCATGCTGGAAGCAAAACTAATTAGTTTGAGAATTGAGAACACACATCATAAGAGGTTGTGCAAACCTTTGTTTTTTTTTTCTTTTTTTTGGGAGGAAAACTCTGGAGAACATTTGAGGATTATATTATATGCCTAAGGCTATGACATTGGAAGGCCTCTTGTCTGGAAGATGTCTCATTCCTTCACTTGCCAGAGTTTGTCATCTTATTGTCCAAAAGAAACACTTGATTGAAAATTTTATTCCTTTCAATCACATATGTTTTAGAAGCTATTACCCTGTAGAAAGCAGAGGGTTATATATTGTTAATATAATCAAATGAATGTAAAGGTCCTAAAGAGCTCATAAAAAGAAAGCAAATTGGATTCCCCATAGACCCAAAAAAAATATAATATTAACAAAATTAAAGGTCACAGTTTGATAATCATAAAACTCATCATTTTAGAATAATAACACCCATCATCCACTCATCACAGACAACCCAAAAACAAACTCTCTCTCTCTCTCTCTCTCTCTCTGGTGGGTATTCTCCTTTCAAAAAATTTCAGGAACAAAATGATTCCACCTTTTCCCGTGAAAAAAAATTGTAATAAATACACATTCCCCAATGACCCAGGTCCATCTCTGTCCTCCATTCATGCTCTTCCCGTGAAAAAGCCAAACACGCATGACACTCTCTCTTTCCCTCTTTCTCTCTCTTACACAATTCTCAGAGCCCTCTTTTTCTCCTGCATTTACCAAGAGACCAGGTGCAGAGATAAAGGCACAAAGTTCTAAAGCCCCTCAAAGACAATTGTCTCTCCAATCTTTCTCCCTCTAACACAGAACACAGCAGTTTCATGGAACCCTTCCTCATGCTTGTCTTCCTTTTCTCTCTCATTGCTCTACTCTTCCAACTTTGTCACTCTACAACAATTGTAGTAGATGGAGTTTCAGAATGGACAAACCCCACTGTTCAAATAGGGGACATTGTCAGTAAGTACTTCTATTCTTCCCATAACTGTTGATCATTTACATAGTTTTCATGGCCTTTATAAGCTAACATATTACATTAATCTGCTTTCAATTTCTCTGTTTTCTCAGTTTTCCACCACAAGTATCACTACAACCTCTACATTTTCCGGAACCAAGGGGCCTTCTACCTCTGCAACTTCACCCAGGCCACACTTCTCTCCAAACCCAATTCTACCTCTTTTACTGTACTCTCTCTCTCTGACTTTCTTTTGTACTCTTGAATAATGGCCAAGTATGTGCATGTAAATTTCTTCAGGGTGCTTGAAAATGAACTAAAAATATGCCTTTCTCTGTAATTTTGTTTTGGGTACTTGAGAAATGACCAAGGATTTGTGCTTTTGGACAAATTCTTCCTTGTGTAGCTCAGAAATGGCCTAAATCAAGTCCTTATTTTGGACCATTTCCTTTTACTGTCAAAATGCTTTTGTGTATTGTGCTTGAATTCAAGCCAAGATTATGTTAGGGGATATCGTACCGAAAATTATAATTTTTTTATCAAATGATAACTAAATAGAATCAATTTACGATTACGACTAATCTCAATCAACTCCATTTTGACATAACTTTACAGCATTGTTCATACATGTACTTAGAGATACTTGAAAAGTTTGCTTCTATGCATATTTGATATTTCTCCCCCATGACATGCAGTGGCACCCCTCACGCCCTGGTTTCTTCTACTTCTCCTTCAACAATGGCTCCACCAAACCATGTCAACAAGGCCACAAGCTCGCTGTGAAGGTGTCTCTCTCACCAGAACAAGCACCAATGACAGCTCCAACGCCAAGCTCCGGTGGCGCTGCATCGTCTTCTCCGGCGTTCCCTTGGCCTTTTAGACCTCGAGAATTGACTTCACCGAGTCCTTCACCTAGTGTGTTTCTTCCAGCGATGGGTCCTATGCCGCCGGAAAATGGTGGCGGCGGTGGTGGTATACCATTTATCAGCAGCAATCCAGCAGTACCTCTACCCTCTAGTGAAATGGACTCGGCCACAATTCTTCCGTTGCCAACTTCTGGCCACCAAGAACAGGTACTGACATTTCAACCTCGTTCTTTAGGAAAAATTATACTTTGACCCCTTAATTATGTCCTTACCTAACATTGTTCCTTAACTATTTCTCACATTGTACCTTAAACTATGATCATTGGTCTCACCTGACCCCTCAAAGATGAGATTTTTTACATTGCACCTCTAATTATAGTTATTAATTTTATAGTAATGATATGCTAATTAAAATTAGAGACCAAATAAAGAGTTTAAATGATATGACAGCTGACTTGGAAGACTGATTAGACAATAATCAGCCTAATCAACATTCCAAGTTAACTGTCATGTCATTTGACAGCTTTATTAAAGGACCTGACAACTGATTTAGAAGACTAATTAGGCTACCATGTTATTTGAGCTCTTTATGCTATTCCAATTTCAAACATTTTTTTGATTTTTCAATTTTAGACATTAAAATTGGTGTTTTACCACACATGTGAACATTTTTTTGTTCAAAATACGATGAACAGTTAATTTTGGGACAGTGTAAAAATAATTCAAGTAATTGTCGAGACAGGACAATGTGAGAAACACAATAGGTGAGAGGCAAAGTGAGACCAGATTTATAGTCGAAGGGGTTAAAATGTAAAATTCTCCTACTTTTTTTTTTTTACTTCTGAAAACAGATACTTTACCTTTCAACTTTTTGCAAACCAGTCCTCATTTTAATTTAATTATGTGATGGTCAGAAATAAAAAAGTGAGAGTGAAAGTGAAACTGGCTTACAGTGTGTGTGTGTGTGTGTGTGTTATTAATTATATTGCATGTTTATGGTGGGACTTGGGAGGCTAATGATGGTGTTTTTGATTGGACTCAATTTTCTTGGACTGCAGGTGGTAGGCTTTGTTGCAGTTCAGAGAGCTTTGGGTTGTTTGATTTTTCTGGTGATGCTATGAGAGAGGGAGAGAGAGAGAGTGTGTGTTTTTTTTTGGAATTTAGGTAAGGGTAAAGAGATATGTGGTAGGGCTAACGTGCGCCAGAAACTGTAGTTTTGTATCTAAAGTGGCTTTAAGGGTGATGATTTTACCATGTAATATGTTATCCTTAACCCTACTTTAGAATCATTAGCACTTTGTTGGTTGCTTTACTCTTTAGGTTTGGCAAGCAATCAATTACTCCTTTTTCTTTTTTATGTGCTTCTTTTTTTTCCTTGGATGGTGTTTACCTTCTTGTGGGAATTTGAAGTCCCTAGGCTCTCAGTTTTAGTAAATATTTAATATCACCAGATGAGTACTTAATACGACACAAAAGTAACATGGAATTAGAAGGCTTAAATTTTTATAAATGAGTAGACCCGACACGATATGAATAATAAGCAAATCGGGTATGAATGAATATATTCAAAAGAAATATACAATACGACTTGTTTATATTTCGATTTTGTATGATCCATACATAACATGAAAATAATTCATTAAATACAAATTAATAAACGAATCGAGTATGAATAAAATATTTTTTAATATAAATTTATTAAAACCCGATACAAACTCGTTTCAACTGACATGACAGACAAGCTCATGAGCAATTAGGTGGTGTTTTCCTACTAATAAATTTATTATTAGACGATAAGATAACGTTACAGTCATAATTTAGTATCACTGTTATATCAAATATTTTTTGCTCCGAGTTCGGGTTTTAAGTGGCATGAGAGTTGGTCAAAATAACTACTTATCTATGGGAAAAAAAAATGGTAGAAACTGCGTTGCCTGTAAGTGTTTTCTCTCTCTTTAATTGCACAGTTAAAACTCGACAGAAGGCCCATTTCACATGGGTTAGCCCAAAAGCCCATCATCTGATCACTGTTCATGTGGATATCAACAAACAGCCCATTAGTCAAGCGAGTGAGACTGTGGGTCAGTGGATAAGTTGCCCGGGCTATCCTTTTTTGGACAAGCACCCCTGACCCAATTCGAAACCCTATCAATATTCCGATCCATAGGCAGGAAATGGGCCTACCCCGCCCCACGTCAACCTTTATCCAGCTGTCTCAATTTTAACAATTCATATCAGTTCATTTATAATTATACTAGTCATAACTCGGGCACGAATGAACGATAAAATATAAAATTCGAAGTCTAAAAAAATCTATCCCACTATATTAAATAATAATTTTTCTTTCCTTAATTTCTTTGATTATATCATTTAAAATCTATATATATCCATTATTTTCTTAAAAATATCGACGATTTTTTTTCAAAAAACGAAATCCGAAATTTTTTTCTCAACATATGTATACTATCGTGTATGGATAATATTTGAAATAAAAAATTATATTAAACTATAAATTAATCAAGTATTAAAATAATTGAACATATGATAGAAATGAATAATGTGATATTTTTCGGGAAAAAAATATGTAAGAGATAAAATTTAACTTATGAGCTATCTTGTTATATAGATATATCGGGGTTAGTATCATGTCAAGTTTTTATATTTAATTGGATTCATATCGACATATTCATTTAATGCATGTAACGGATCCATTTGTTTATCACCTACGCACGCACTAAAACTAAATTCAAATGCGCTAATTTCATATCTATTGTATTAGATTCTCAAGTTGTGTCTAGAACCGTTAAACCTGATAATAATTTCAAATTACTTGGGCCAAGACAACCAAATCTTGAGACTATATATATATATATATATTAGCGATCAGAAACGTTTAAATCAATTTTTTGAACAGTCGTGTTACCAAAAGCTATTTGGCAGTGGAGCTGTTGATCGACTGTCCAACCAACAAAAACATTTTGAATTTAAAGCTTCAAATGCCTCAACAACTAGCAAGTTGCTGCATGGAGGGCCTAAGTTCTTTGTTAGGTGTGTGGAAATGCAAATTTGCATTATTAAGAATTCCAGCCAGCCATCTTGCTGCCGCCCATTAAGGGATGTGATTTATGACCAAACGCTTGCCTTGATGCAACACTAATACTATTACAATTTAATGTGAGGATCTAATGAATCGAGAGACATGTGAATTAGCATTAGACCCCGATATTGAATTAAACTGACTATCAATTAATAATCACTATGTATAAGACTTCAATTTAGTTTCAACAAACCGAATCAATGGTCAAATAAAAGACGAGACACAAACTCGTACGTCTTGTATCTAAATTTTTTTGGCTGACACAAAACTTAGTTTTAATTGATATGTATCACTTATAGGTGATTATGTAGATCCCAAATTTACATTTCGGCTATAAATTTTTAAATTACATGGTTGAAAATAATTTTCTGTTTGAATGGGAAAGATCCCATTATTTTGGTATTGTAAGTACAATAATGATGTGCAGCATTCTATCCTCGTACGTTACCTCACCTTTACCAATCGATCGAGCATAATCATTATTATTAAATATATAATTAGTTTAATAACTTCTACCATTGTAATGGTTTATATTAAAAATAGTCCAATACGGTAGTGCACCAATGTGACAAGTGTAGTACAAAGTAGGGATTTATTTATCTTCTGTAGTGCAAAAGAGTGGTCAGACAAAAAGGTCAAAGTTATACAGCCTTTCATGTAGCCACCGCTTGGATTTCAATGCTTGCCTTTTGGAATTAATGAACAATGATAAGGGTGGTGGCAGAAAGGATAAGGGGCACTGTCACAGCAAACATCACAATAAATACTCACCAAATTTACAGCTGGTTTTGGTGTATTAGGAGACCTTTTCACGGCTCTAGTTTCATTTCAATGTGCATTGCTTCATCTGTCATGTTATGCATACTTGTAGTTTGCTTGTTTGGAATGAAATTTACAGACACAATTAATTCGGGTTAAAGCTTGTTCAAACTTGTTCAATTAAAAGACGAATCGAGTTGAGATTCAATTTTAAGTTGATTGATGAAAGAGTCGATTCTAAGTAGAGTGATGTTCGACTTTAAACGCATATGACACGTAATACATAATGTATATGTGTACTACGATCAAAGACAAATTCAAATTCGGTTAATTTAAGAAGGTAAAATATATGTATTAGTGAAAGCATATTGCTCTAGCAAAATACATCCACCAAGTTTCACTCAAAGAACATCAATATTTCGAAGTGCACACACAATCTTGTAAATTCAGTTCAATGTTATCTATAAATCTATTTAAAGAGCCCGCTCAATTCAAACAGCACTGCTGCTGTTGGGACTTTGGCTGTACAAGAAATTGAATTTAACTGCGGTGTTGTTGATCAAAACCCAGCAGAGGTGGTGCAAAACGACAGAGTCAACAACAGAGGAGCCGGACCCGATCAAATGCACACTTGTTGGCAGTGAGTAATCCTACACAATGGAGTTTGACATGGTCAATACTTCAGCCAGCCAATACTCCAACTTTGTGTTTGGGGTTGGGGTTAGGTGGGGGTGAGAAAAAACGAAAGAACTTGACATTCACATCAAGCAGGGTGTCCATTGGAATGCTGATGAAGTAATAACTCCTGATACGCCAAACCTGAAAAGAAAAAGAAAAAAAAGGAAAATAAAACGTGCAGGCAACTAGGCAAAGGATTCTTGGGAGACTTACCTGATGTAACCTTTCTATTATTTGAGGAAAGAACAAAGTTCAAGAATCATGACCATATAAACCAATGTAACATGTCAACAAGAAAGAAGGAATTTTGATCAAGGACTAGAAAATAATTCTCTTTATGCACAATGGAATTTAAATCCTTGACCATTATTAAACATTATCTCCCTAGTCAAAACAGACAGTTGAGGAAGCAACTCATATGGGAGTAAATAAAGGGCTGCTCTTAAAAGTTGCTCTCGTCTTTCTTTGAGAAAGAGGCGAAATACAATCAACTCTTCTCTTTCACCGAGGAAAAGAAAGTGTTTGGAGTTCGAAGAATGAAGAATACTTGACTCAAAATTCAACAAACCTTAATCCCAATGAAGAACGCAAACTATGTCTGCCCATATTCGAAGGAGGAAAATGATTAGGAAGAAAAGGGAAGAAAAGTTTCCCAGTAGTGAAATTTCCAAACAAATCTTAATACCAAGACAACCAACTTAATCAACCATCGTGCCCAACTTGAGAGAATGGAAGGTAACTAAACATGCAATTCATGCAAACTAACTCAAAAAGGATTGCTTTGTCAAATAAAAGTGCAGCTTTGTCTCATTTCATCCTGCACCTAGTTCTTTCTTCAAAGTCACCAACAAACCCAAAAAAACACTAATGTAATTGCTCACACAAAACCATAGGAAGTTTTCTATCGAACATAGCAGAAAAAAAAAGTAATATTAATATAACCATAATCATGAAACAAAAACAGGTACAGCACGTAGCAATTGTACTCTGAAATTTGATTATAGGGCGACAACACAAACAGGAAAACAGCATCATGTACCGCAAAGGTCCAATCCATATCCTAATTTCTTTACACAACACAATGAGATCAACAAAAGTATTTACCTCCTTAAACATTTTATTTTAAGGAACCCAAAATCCCGAACGTATTTGCAAGTTCTAGATTCACTGCCAACCAGGAATCGACCAACACAAACGTATTACTGGTGAGTGTTTGCTCTTCCCATAGAGTCAAGACCCTCGGTCCTACTGCGCACAATCCTATGGAACACTTCCCTCACTTGGCACTCCAATGGGTCTAAGCCATCCTTTACAGCTTCATAAACCAGTCCAAGCTCCTTCACTCTCTGCTTGACTTCTACCTCCTTATCCTCTGTCAAGGGGAACTGAACAGAATCAGTCAATTCATTCATCTGGCACGCACATTTTTCAATCTCACGAATCTCCTTCAATAATCCACAAGCATTTCTCCGATCTCTCTTCTTTGATTCCTCCAAAATCCTCTCATGGAGTGAGAGAATAGGAACGGCCCAAATGAACTGCCTAGTCACATAAAAATGGGTCTGGAGGCCACGGTCCTGACAGGGTATCGCGGCCACTAAAGCCCACATTACGAAGAAGAGCACATAGCTCATTGTAAAAACAGCTACAACAAGTCCATTGGTGGCCATAATTTCATTGGCTTTCGGAGCAACCAAATTTATCCCAATTGCTTGGAGCTGCTTAGCAGCCGACCAAGACCTTGATACACTCCACGACAATGATCGAAAATGCCCCAATGACTTGTGGTCCTTGTTCACATTACTACGCCCAAATGACCGATTTCTCTGAGCAAGAGTTGTGTTGGAATCTTTCTCATCAAGCATTCCAATTGCTAAATCAATCAATGCCTTCTTGGCACGACGAAATTGGCCTTCTCCAAGGCTCCTCTGATTGTCCAATGCACACAACACAATCTCCAACTGCTTTTGCCATTGTCTGATCTGCTCAATCCCATCTCGAATTGCATTACAAACATCTAAAGCTTTCACACTCCTCTCAAAGAACTCCAATATGTATCGATCTGACGGGGCTCTATTGAAGTTCCCTCTGTTGTTAAACATTATGACCCTGAATTCTTCTTGGCAACAGAGGTATACATCAAGAAGTTTGCGAATCCATGAAACTGAGAGAAGCTCATTGGAGTCGACAGAAGACAAATCACGAAACCTTTCAGCTACCTGTCTCTGGAAGGCTTCAAGCTCGAGTTCTTGGCTTGTGGCCCCATGATTTGATGAGTCCATTGAATGAACTTGATCACGACGTATACTTAGAATTGAACGGCCAAAATTAGTGAAAGATGCTGAGACTCCTTGATAATCTGTTGCTGGCATGTCTCAACTTACATCAACAATTACCTCAAGAAAATTTCTCAACTGGAAATTGGAACCAACACAAAAACCCAGAAGCAGAATCAATTACTTGGAATCAGAATAAAGAATTCTGAAGAGATTAGTGACAAGGATTTAATACTACCCCAACTGAAGAAAAAACCCCTTGAATACAAATGGATTTAGATAAGATTAAAAAACCTTCAAATGGGAATAGGAACGTAAAGCTCAATCCCCAAGAACTCAAGTTTATCCAAACTGACAACCCAAAAAAAAACCCTTCAAATGACAACTGGAATCAAGCAACCCAACACCCGGACATAGACAACCCAACTGGATTCTAAAATTGTTAAAAATCAAGAGGTAATGACAAAAGTTCAAGCTTGGGACTATTGACAACCCTAGAACACAAATGGGTTCCAAACTTTCCACCAAAGAAACGAACCCTTTAATGGAAATTTGGAACCAAACCCTCCAAAACCCAGAAATAGAACAAACACAATTGAACCAAGAATCGCCGTGAATAAAGAGATTTTCAGCAAAAAGATCAAATTTTCCCAAGTGACCCCCCAGAACACAATGGGTTTTAAGAGCTCAAAACCTTAAATTGCAAGAAAAATCCAAAAATCTTGATACCCAACAGAGAGAGAACTGAACCACCCAAAATCAACGAAAAAGTGGAGAGAGGAAAGAGCAGGGAAGGAGACGAATTGGGGATGTTTGAAACCCTAATAGAAGGAGGCTTATATATATTGAGGGTGATTTAGAGCGCGTAATATGGTTGTTGGAAGAGAAAATTTCATAATCACAGATTAAAAACGTTAGTACATTCGAAAGTAAATCACCATGATTAGTAACTCATCCTTAGTTTTCTTCAGTACAGCAGTCCCTCTCTTACACGCCTCACGCGCACTGAACACGCCTTCCTTATACACGGTCCCTCTAAAAACATTCCCAGAATCTCCATCCATCGAGCTGAACCGTTGATGTTTACTTCTGAATCTAATCAGATGGTGCGGAAGAAAGGATTTAGGAAGATTCTATTTTGTAGGTTTTTTTTAAGAGAAAAATAATTATTAAGTGATACATCATAAAAAGATAAAAAAATATATATTTATTTTCATGATAAAAATATTATTTTCAGTCAGATTTTCAGGAATTCTGGTTTTCTAAATGAATTCATGGCATGGAGAACGATTTTAATGTATTTTTTCTTAATTTTTTACTATTAGATCACCCACTATACATCAATATAAACACATTTCTACCTAATAAATCTTATTTAAATTAATGAGTAATAATTTATTATTAAATAAAATTAAACAAATATAGAAGTAGAAACATTTTTTAAAGTGATATGTGAGAATCATGTGCATAATTTAACTTGAAAAAAAATCTATATTTACCTTCATCGTATAAACTTTATTTTGTATAAAATTTAAGCTTATGACATTGTACTATTATAAAAAAATCCTGGTCTGCTAAATAAATTCATCAGAAGACATGATGGCGAGAATTCTCACCTCTGTCAACGAAACTCAAAATCATTGATTTTAGATTTCATTGGAGAATTCAAGTTTAAAGTATTAGATTGCCCATTATATGTCAAAATAAACTCATTTCTACCTAATAATATCATTATTTAAATTAATCCTATCATTAAATAAATTTAAAACAGAAGAAATCTTCTTTTGGGTAAGTAGCAAGAAGATATCTTTATCCCTCAGCTGATGGGTATGACTTTAATAATCCAAATTTAATTTTTTTTGATATATATTTTTTTTATTTTTGGGAGAGAAGGAGGGAGACTTGAACCCTTGACCTCAAGAAGGTAAAATCTTCATAAGATAAAGAGTATAATTTGATCAAAAACCCGTTGGTATGGTATCAAAATTAATAATAAAGTTGCATCTCAATATGGTGGTAAACTTTAAGATGAGATTCTTAAAATTGATCCTAGTCATTTTATTGTAATTTGATACTTTAAGTTTTGTTTTTGTTTTTGTATTATGGGAGAAACTTTTGTGTTTAATTAGCTCTTATTTAATTGTAAAATAAGGATATAGCATAAAAATAATGTGTGACTATAGAATTTTTAATTGATTTACATATAGTCATTGGTTAAAATAAAATAAAATAAGAAAATAAAATTTTTGATGTATCTCATTCTCATAAAATAAAATAAAGTTTTGGTACTATAGTTATTATACACTTAATTGCAACCTTACATTTGAGGTTTAAAGTGGAGTCATATATCGGCTCATTAATTTTAATGGGTAGTTTAAATAATAATAAATACGAATTATAATTTTAAATGTCTTGAGTTTAAATTTTGATAATTCTTTAGAGTTAAGTCATAAGAAATTCATGAATACCCTAATTTGGGTGTAAATAAACCTATTTTTAAGCAGATAAAAAAAAAATCAATTGAGATTCGTTTAAATTAACTTGGATACTCTGATTATTAAATAAAAAAAAAAAATTAGCTAACTAACGGGGATAGGGAATGGAGAGCTGTGGACGTGCCACGTGGGGAATGGTACAAAGTGGGGTATAGGTTTACCACGTGTGGAAAGGTAATTGGTGGGATATAACTGAGAATAGGACCCAGTCAATTGAATAGGGTGCACACGTGGAGTAAAAGGACCAACGTAAGGTGGTTAGGGACTCGGTCTCCGCTCAGATACCTCTTCTAGAATGCTGATTAGAAGGTGTACGGTGGCTGATGTCAAATGGTATTTTGTGGGTATTTTTATTTTTTTTAATTATATAATTTAAAATTAAAATAAACAGAGAAAAAATAAGAGAGTAATTAATAGGATTGTTTGCCACAATTGACTAGTTTTATATTAAATTAATTCTCTCCTAAATATCTTAATTTCGACATAGATGACTTGTCTTTAATCGAATCGGAAATAAAATTAATTGAAGTGTTCTTAAGTTAGTCCGAACATCCCTAACTGTTGAATTTAAAAAAAAAAGAGTTTATAGTAAATTAATTTGTATAACTTTCACTATGCAATCGCGCAAAATAAGTTTAAATCACTTCATTATACAATTTTTTTGGGTGTCGTATAATACGATTTTCGGATTACAAATTTATCTCTCATTAATATCTTAATTCTATAATAGATGGTCTGTATTTGACTGAATTAAAGAGGTATGCATAAGTTAGTGCTGACACCTGTAACCGTAAAACCAATAAAAAAAATATATACGATTTTTAGAATTTCTAAAGCGAAATTCATCCACTAGAGTTGTTTTTTAAATTGGATCTATGTGGCAATAATTCAACACCTGCAAATAGCAAAAGGAAAAGAAAAAGTAAACTGTAACTATAATCTTGAGTCAATTTAAGTTTTTTTTTTTGTCATGAATAAAATTCTTATACCATCTACTTGATATAAACTTTAGTCAAGCATTTCTATGCAAATGTATCAATTTCTACCCTCTACCACTAACTCTTTTGTGTATTTGAAATTTTTTTGTTGAAAACGCAGATGGGTGGTTTACTGGTTCTAGGGGCATATACCACTTGGCATTGCTGTTGAATCAAGGCCAAAAGTGTGCTTAAAGTTGAGCATTCATCCTTGGTAGTCGTGCAAAGCATTGTGCTCTATGGATTCTTCAATTTGATAGATATAGCCCCCTCGAAATCCAAGAAAAGATCCTTTTGGAAGTTAACACAATTGGCTGCAAGTCTCCTTATCCGAGAAAAGCACCGCATCTGCCATTGTTATAAAATATACAAAAGAATAGCTGCTCTCTTTGTTGGTCTCTATGAGCTCAAAAGAAAGAGACTGTGTTTCTTTTAATAACCTATGATCAGTTTTTTAGGCACATGAGATCAGTACAAAATTGAGGTTAAGGGTTAGCAACCGCTCCCGCTATTAGATTTTAAAATCACATGTTCAAATCTTTTTGTTCTTCTCCCATGTAATAGTATCTAGTTATTAAATTTTAAGATCACAGGTTCAAATTTTTTTGTTCTTCTCCCATATAATAGTATCTAACTAAAAAATCACGTGAATTGTATAAATCAAGGTTGTCTCCCAAAATTCAGATACTAGACATCGAGATAAATATCAAATGACAAGGATTTAAATCCCCTCCTTCCTCCCCATCCTACAATATATATATATATATATATATATATATATATATATATATATATATATATATATATATATATATATATATATATATATATATATATATTAATTTATGATAGATCTGATTAAGTGTTTTACACGTGAAGGGTATAAAAGGAACAATTCAAAAAACAAAAAAAAAACCTCAACCAAAATCTAATTAAATTAGATTAAGATGGGTTGACTCTTTTACCTCTCTTTTTTCACATCTAACCCATAATTACCTAAATTGTCATAATTGAAACATGACTAAATTGACAAAAAGAGACACATTTGAGAGACTAAAAGTCTATATAATTTAAAACTATAGGCAAGGATTAAACGAAGTCTATTTTTTCATGGGAAAGACTACGGTACCAAAGGAGGTACCTTATCAAAATTTATAACCGTTTAAGGTTAAATTACAATTTTTTTGAAATATAAGTTACAATTTTTAAAAGTCATGATCGATTATAATAAATTGAAATTGATAACAAAATTATAATTTTTAAAGATAAAGTTACAACTTATAAAAGAAAAGTTAAAACTGATCAAAATAAGTCTAGATCGATCATGGTCTTTTTGATCAAACAGTTGTAATTTTTTTCTTTTAAATTGTAATTTTTTTTATAAAAATAATAAATGACGGTATGATATTGATGGCTGTATCACAGACTTTCCCTTTTTTCATATATACAATACCCCATAATAAACAATCAACATCACCACGTAAAATAGAGAATTTCCTGACTGGTAGCCCATCATCTTCCACAACTTCAAGTTGTGGTCCTTAAAATTATATTTATGGCCGGTGGCCCCACTTTTACGTGGGGCCAAGATGAAAATTTATAGGTTTAGCTCTTTTCACACGTCCCTTCTAGAAGAAAATTAGGGATATGTTCTTGGTCCGAGGGGCAAGAAATCACAAGTTCTGATTCCCCAGAGTGGACCACTTCGTTACACATGCTGAATAAACAATGGCTTTAGAGTTTAGACTGTCGGTATTGTATAGCAAGTTGATTGAGGCTTGACACTTCTAAGCCTCTCCATGAACTTAGGGACTTTAGATTACAGCATCCAAAAAAAATTTTAGTAGCATACCTCTAATTTAATGGATATTTTTATAAATTTTATGGGTTATTTTATAATAAATTTTTTTATTATTTTTGTAAGTGATTTATTATTTTTGTGAATATTTTTATCAATACTATTAATATTTTTATCACATATATGGTAATTATGTTTATCACTTTTCTTCGGTACAAAAAAATTATCGTTTTTGTGGGTGATTTATCATATTTGTGAGTATTTTTATCTCATTTATGAATTTTTTACCACTGTTGTAATAATTATTTTTATTATTTTTTAGGTATCATAACAATGATAAACACATAAACGAATGTAATAAATGGAGGTATGGTATAAAAAAGTCAGGAAAAGATCTAAGTTGTTGCCATTGCAAGGATACTTTCAAAATTTTCCAAAGTCTTATCAGGTAATCATGACTTTAATTTGACAAATCCCCTTAAAAATGATCATTAACAAAAACGATTTATAAAGTCGTGATTGACAAACATAATTTGGGGATGCATAGATTTGAGTTACTTAGTTTTGAAACCACAAAATAATTTAAAAATACAAATCACCCTTATCAAAACAAACAAGGCTTTTGAATTCGCTATCTCAAGCATGTTTGGGGACTGGAGAGTAAATATTACGGATAACAATTATGTTACGTCAATATTGTCTTTTGATATAACTGTTTAATAATAACTCAACAATTAATTAAAATAGACCACATTCCTTCACGTAATCATCCCCTCTATATAGGATAATAAAGTTGTCATGTCACATATTTAAAAGACGGGTTTTACTTGTTCACTTGTTTGTTTATTATTAGACGATTACACTGCGTAATAATACTAATATAGTATAACTAAACTTTATTTCTTTTAAAATTTAAAAATGGCTAACCATCAAACCCATTTTTTTTATTAATTCAAATGCTGATTGATTGTCACTATCAAACATTTGGCTGCCATTTCTGTTTCAGAAACTATGCAAGAAAAGCTTACCCACAAATCTGGTTTTTCTTTTCACTTTATTTTTGAAGGACTTTGACTGGGACTTGAGTTTTTATTCTTTTCCTTTTTTTTTTCAAAAGGCAAGGAACATCTCCAAAGTAGAATCCATTGAATCCCCTCATGCAAGAGTTAACTCCAAATATTCGCAAACACAAGCATATCACAGGTATTAGATAAGTCAAAAAAACACCTATAAGAATCGAACCTGAAACATTCGGACATATGACTCGTCTCACAGTTAACTCTACACCGTTGGACTATCCTTAAGAGTTGAGTTGTGAATTGAATCATTCATGAAAATTTGTATCTTTTTGATATATTTTTCTTTGATTTTTAATAGATCGTACTATTTATGAATTCAAATAAAATTTATTATATACAAATGGATTTCACAGCATTGAAGGAGAGTAGTCTTTGATTCTTGTCCAAAAAGTAATCTTTAATGGCTGTTTGTAAGGTGTAGATGACTCAACATTGGACCCTCCTTTGGCCTCCTAACCTTTATAAACAGACCCCACAAAAGCTATATATTCTAAGAGCACACACATCCATCCATTCTTGCCATCTTCCCATGAATCTTGACATTGACTTTGAAAGATTAGATTACCAAAGTTGACACACTGAGATGACCACAATTTCTGATAGATTTCAACTTCACTTTTTTAATTCTTTACCCAAGGGGAAAGAATGAGAAAACCTATAAAGTCCATTAAGATTAAAAAGTGTGAAAAAATGTACGTAATTATCACGATTCCGTACGTAATTATCACGATTCTACGCGTAACAACCACGTTTTGGAAACTTGCATACTTGCATAGCAGTCATAAGTCTAAACAATATTGAAATTTCAGAACATTGAAGGATGAGTTCAAGTTAAGAAAATTATCTCTTTGCAAGCCCCAAGAACCCCATAGTGACCAAAATCCATTTTGAGTTTTCCCTTGATTTTTGGAATGATTAAAATCGACATTCTAAGTTACCAACTGGTGGAAAGATTCTAAAAATCATTTATCAGATTATGATGTGTTCTTGTTGAATGAAAAGAGCATAAAAGTAATGAAAAGAAAATAAACATTTGAGAAGCTACGTTGATGGCGGGAATCAAGGAAGCCCAGGACTTTGACTGACCACATTAAAGGTGGTTAAGATCCAGTTATTTATAGTTTAAACAACCGGTAAAGCCCAAAATCACTCCTATGATCAGGAGAATTCTGCTGATTGATATAATTGAGGCACAAACTGTGGAGAGAGAGAGAGAGAGAACAAAATTTATGGTTTTCATATATCCTAACATCATATTGTTGCCTCAACTTTTCTAAACAATTAATGGGACGTAACAATAATCAATTAGTGGGACCTGACAAGACCCGCTAATTCAATTATCCACACGAGTTGATAAAGGTAAGTTTGAACAGTGTAGCATTGTTGATCCTTAATATTGTTTTCTACGTGCATGCGAGCGCACATGGGTTAACTTTGACCTTTCAATGTGCCCCCCCCCCCCCCCCCCCCCCCCCCCCCCTCCCCCTCCTCTCCTTCCCCCCAAACAAGAAGAAAGATGATCAAATCACACCAGTCAGGCAGAACACAAACTTTTATGTTTGCAAAAAACGAATGGCTTGACTGCTGAAATCCATGACATGTAGAAAAGGTAAAGTAGTGTAAAGCAACTAAAGAGATAAGAGACAGCTGAAGCATTTAACAGGTTAATCCATCAGAGAGACCTTCTGGCATATGTATTTCATTCCCCTCGCCAACGTCGGCCACAAAGATGCTGCCTGAATCACACCATCCGCCCACAACATCCCGGTTAGGACACTGCAGAAAACGTTTAAAATGCATTAGATGTGCAACCTTGCAAGACATCCACAACTTTTTTCCTTATTAACACAGAAAAAGTGGGTATAAATTATTCAGCGCGGACTTGTACTTGGGTAGCAATTAATTTAGCTAGATACCTTCAGAACATGAGACAAGCCAAGTACCAAGCATTAATGTTTACTCTATTAGGTGCAAATCTGTCATATAACCACGAAATTATATTGATACTAGATGTACAAATCTTAAATTTAGTTGACAACTAGAAAAAGACTTATAATCTGTTTGCATAAACCCAAAACTTAAACCATGTAAATCCTTCCAAAAACAAATTGAAGGATCAAAATGTTTGAAAAATTATAATCACCCTCCAGGATTTAAAAAGCTACTCTTTAGTGGTTTGGACTACAATTCGGGAAATTAGCAATAAGCCCCTAAAGTTAAAAAGAAACTCTTCGTCCCCTTATGCTGTTTGGAGTTAAAAAAACAGAATTACCCTTCATCATTTGGACATTCTAACCATTTCCCTTCAGTAGACCAAATTCACGAGGGTGTTCTTATCATATTATAATTAAATAAAAATTTTAACTTTGGAGGCTTGAAGCCTTCAACATTAAATTTGAAGGAACTAACAGCATTTTGTGTCCAAAGTCCAAACAACAAAGAGGGGATGGCTTTTTAACACACAAGGATATATTTAGCACAAACCACTGAGAGTTAGGGTCTAGTATTCCCTAAAAAATACTTTAAGAGTTCAAACTGAGGCCCCCACATAGGAACAGTAACTCAATTAGGTTCAATTAGGTTCCTCATACACCTTGGATTTTTGGCTGAGAAAATATGCTTTAGCCTTGGTTGGTAAAAGCAAACCAATCCCGACTTGTATTGCTTGTGCTGAACTCTAGAAAGAGACAAGAATGACATTCATGCTTACAAGAGACCAGCATTTGCCCTTTGCACGAGCGGTGTTGTGCATGCATGCTTTCATGAAGTATCCTAGAAGAAGGATATCATACCTTACTAAATCCAAGCCAATTTGAATCTCCTCTAAATGCAAATGCCTTCTTGTTTTCTTTCCACCCTCCACATAAAACCTGCAAAAGTATGCTTATTAAACATGGTATTAGAGTTCGACACTTAATTGGGATAGCTTGGTCTATCTTCCAGTTAAACAACAATCTACTACAACAGCAGTTAGAGATGGTGTAAATTAAACATATGTACTTCAACACGTTCCCTCACGTGCAGGCTAGATTTTGGGCCTAACATGTGAAAATCTTTTCATAATTAAGGTGATGACGAGATTCGGACATAGAACCTCCTGCTTTGATACCGTGTTAAACAACTATTTACTCCAAAAGCTTAAGGGTATAACCGTATTTAATACTTCAACAATTCCATTCATGGTCTCTGCACCTGCTACTTCCCATTGTGGCTTTTATTAGGTTTCGCACGAACAACGATTCTAATTTCTAGAATACACAATGACAATTTGTTAAATGCTTTGCATTGGAGAGTGTAGCCCCAATGCTGATGCCATCCAAATCCATAACTTAAGATCAAATCAAGCCCCAACCCAAAATTGTTTGTTTTGTGGAAAAATGAGTATAAGAGGCCACTTGTCCATTCCTTCCATTATATTTATTCATGGTAAACTAAAAAATTATCCATAAAGCTGACTTCAAAGTTAAACTTCGTCTGAAGTTATTAAATTATGGCTCAGTGACTTTGGAAGCAATCACCTCATAATCTACCCCCTGAATGTAGATATAGTCAGGGTCAACTGATGAGAAAGCAAGTCCAGTAATCTGCAGCATTGAAAAGAGAAAGTTAATTTGTATTTGCAAAATACACACACACACACACACATATATATCAAAGGTGTATCTAGGAATTACTGTAGCCAGAATAGAACTGATGCGTTTTGCCTAACATTAGGAAAGAAACAAAAAAATCGCGCACACACACACACACATATATATCACAAAGGTGTATCTAGGAATTACAGTTGTTCAAAAAAAAAAATCTAGGAATTACTGTAGCCAGAATAGAACTGATGCACTTTGCCTAACATAAGGAAAGAAACAAAAAAATCGCACAATCAAATTGCATCAACTGCAAATGAGTCTAGTATTGACTATTTTTCCAAGATAGGAGTCAATATGATCAAATGTATATCCCCACTTCACTTCAAAAGTCAACACACACAAGAATGAGTAAAACAAGATAAAGAATAGCCTTCATTCTACAAATTTCTTTATTGGATTGAAGATTTGGTGTCAGACCTCGTGAAGGAAGAACTTTCACCCTGTAATTCCTAAATGATATGAGCATGTGAGAAATTGGTGATCGGGTAACAGGGCGATATACACAAATGTAAATATGATACAATTTTAAATCCAGGAATGAAGTTGCATCCAAGACTCGAAACAATTGTTCTTAAGCAATTTGACTGACTTGCAGGAAAAAAAAAGAGCATCTGCAGAGGTGCTCGGCCCACCATACAATGGGCCTATTAGGATATTGACAGTCCAAAATTCATTATTCATCGGCGGTTTGAGCCACCTGGATGCAGAACTTTCAGGAACAACCATCAGACAAGATTTCAGTAACTACTGGAGATAGAAGACAACAAAAGTTAAGCTGACTACCCTTGTTTTCAACCACAATGATAGTTGCAAGAACCATTAAGATCCTCAACAGGATTAGCTAGACAACATGGTGATTAGCCCACACCTCACTTTAGTTTTTTGCCTTCTGGGTATTGAGAAAAACTGGCTTGTTTTCATGAAGAACGATGATGAATAGCCAATCAGAGCAGGCATTACATCATCTGTAGTTCTGAAGTCTAACAAAATGTGATTGTACTATGAAATATCCATGAACCGCTTCAGCAGCAAGAAACCAAATTCCGCAATTGTTAAATACTTCGTAGTGAACACCTCCGCATCCGCAACTTTCTAATTCACATTAAACAAAAGATTGACAGGTGGCAAAGAAACGAGGGGCAAACATCTACGATATTAACTGACCTCATACTTAGAGCACTGTGACCACCTAGATAATGCTGCCCATCTACAATCAAGATACAGAACAGAGTTAATGCAAGGTGAAGTAAGATTGAAATTCTCATTTTCCCTCTATCATATTGCAAAACAAAGGTATCAAGGCTCCATTTGGAACCTAGAAACCAGGAAACCACAAAAGCAAATTTCATTTCCATAGTTGGATTGTGTTGGAAAATGGTGAGGAAAAGCTATGATAACAACAACAAAAAAAAAATATTATGACTTGTAAGCATCCAATTTTTAACGAAAATAAGCTACAAAACATGCAGGCACAGGTAAGAAATTCAGATTTTTTTACAAATTGCCTCATCATTTCCCCTTTTCTTTTCCTTTAGCTGTTTACTACTTATTTCATGCACGATATAAAGAGACAAACAAGAAATGATACACTAGCCTGAAAGGCAGCATGAAGATGCCAAGTTTGCATATATCACACATCCTCACCGCCATATAAGTATGTATCACAGATAGGAGAGGACAACTCAATCTGAATATAGCATAAATGCATATTGACTGATGAAGCAACGCCATACAGGAGAACCAACCTGCGAGGGTCATAAATGGTCACAGTACGATCAGCTCCACCCACGGCAATGTTACCAGATGAAGAATTGCAGACAGCATACAAATTATTGCCAACAGAACCACAGATTCTATGCACACAACCACCATTTTCTTTCATTCTTAAGTCCCAAATTGTCAGCTGTAACATTTCAAAAAGATTGAAAAGAAAATATTGGAAGAAAGAAAAATAAAAAAACTTGCTTGTGATCCATTAAATGATTGAACCCACCATGCACAAAAGGGAGTACCTGGCAACCTTCTGTGATGGCTAATATAGAACTACCATTCTCACTACATAAAGTCTGCATAAAGGTTACAGAAGATGGATACCACAAGCTGCAACATCACCACAGTATAAGGAAAGCATACTATAAAAACTTTACGAAAGTAAACAATTCAAACTATCAGTTTTTTTTTTTTTTTTTCAGGATCTGCGGTCTGAGGTTTGCCAGTTGTCAATTACATTAAGTAAATAAGAAACCCTACTAAAAACTCATAAGGAACCCTGAAAAATACTAAGGGATGACCATAAGGTGCACAGGAATAAGTAGAGTATTTGAGACAAAATGCACCTAAAGAAGATCCATCTAAAGTTCAGTGGCCCCTAAAGAAGAAGGGGTATCTTTTTCAAGTAAAATTTGCAAACAAACAGATCATTTCCCCAACCAAGGGTGTAAGAGGGATGAACTGGATACATACCTACCCTTTGCCATTAGTTGCACAAAATGCTTGCCCTCAAATTCGAATCAACAACAAAAAAGAAAATTCAAATCAACAACCTTAAAAGAGTTATCCTGAGTATTATTTGGTGATGTAACTCCGAAGTCCTATATATCACTTTCAGAACTTGGAAAAATCATAAGAGGCTTTAAGATGATAGATCCCTACATTAACTGATGTGAAAGAAACCCATCGAACAAAATTGATTGCAATCATTTCAAAACGAAATTTTAAGGAACAGGATACTCCCAGTGAGAAAACATGAATTTTGTTCTCCTTTTTGGATTGAAAGAAAACATGAAGCATTACTTGAGCCAAAAAAAAAAAGAGGCTAGAGCTGTCTACTTCTGAAAATCCAACCTTGCAGGCCACAAGTTCATTCAGTACTCTGAATAGAAAATCAGACATAGAACTGGGAAGATAGAACATAGAGTGTATGCAAAACTATTTCTATTAAGTTTGTTCAATCAAATGAGGAACAGATATCCATCATAACTCTTTTGCTTACTTACCTCTTAAATATGTTTATTGTTTAGCAATTGGTAAAAGCAGAATAGGATCCATCCTAGTGAAGGAACATAATCTTTCAAGTTTGATTGGGTAAGATATGCTCAAATCCATATATTGTAATAACTGGTTTTACTGTTCAATCGCCATATTGGATAAAGTTGATCCTCTGTATTAGCACATATATTAACATCGACACAATGACGGGCAAATGGAATAAATAAGAAAAAGGATGACTGAAGTGTTTCTAGAATACTGGAAACTACTTAGTAACCCACATTCCACACAAAGTACTTACGTACGTAAAGTCCGGAGATGAATATCTTGGTCATATACGTCAATACTCTTGCAGAAGCTGTGTGCCACGGCCGCCTGAAAGACAAAGGTTAGTTAGTGCAACAGAAAGCACTGAACAAGGAAAGTGATGTTATGGGAGAAGAAGAAACGGTTCCCCTAGCAAAGTAAGTGCCAATAAATTTTTATTTTTTCTTTCAATTTTAAGTGCCAAGTTCTAGGGAAACAAAAAGTAAAGCAGTTTTTTCCTTGCTGAAAATCTACAGATGAAGAGATCTGTTTACAATTTCCAATGCTCCACAAGTTCATAAATTTGCAATAAGTATTATTAGAGTATCTAACCCAAAACCAATTGGCCACTATTAAGCATTTAAACCAACGTTGTGTGGTCCTAATTATTCAATGTAGAATACATGTTTTTCAACCCTCCTTCACATGGACTCGGGCTTGCACATGGGGCTAACAAACAAACAAACAACATGCATACCGGAAAATTCAAAGAGACTTAGCTCACTCACCATCCAAGACACAACTATAATAACATGTTAGAAAATCCAACCAAAAATAAATTGACAATGAGTGGAGAGGCCCTTAAACATTTAAACCAACCTGGCTAGTTTTAATCATTTGATGTGGGATAGAATTTGTCTTTCATAAAAGCATCAAGATATCTTATACCATTTCATGATAAATTGTACCCTTTTACTCATTCTACCCATTGATATTTCAAAAGGTTTAAGCTTTGGTAAACATCCAATAACTTTTTTGGAAAAAAATTGATTAATCTAATGATTGAACATAACAAAGTATTTGACATGAAATGGTACCGGCATAGAGCTTTTCACCAAACCCATTCTCTCAAAATCTTAATTCCTAGAAGCAATCACTTTCAAACTTATTTCTCAAACCCAGACCCAATTACTTTTAGAAAACGTCATTCCAAATAACATGTTTAAACAACATAAAAATTGACAAAAACGTCATTTTAAATGATGAGATTGTGCCAGGAACAAAAATTTTATATGATGTGGCTAACACAGTTGTATAAGTCCAATTCAACACTCTCTCCCTCCCCCATTCCTTAATTTCTCTCTCCAACCCATTATCATCTCTGTCTTCATCCACTATCCAAAGTTACAAACCCACTGCCACCCACCACGAAACTCTACCAAACTTTACCATAAAAACCCACAGTCAACCACCAAATTTCACCATACAAAATTACAACCCATAACACAAACCCACCGCTACCACTTAAACTCACTAAAAATTACAAACCCTCTAGCTTTGATCATTAGTTACAATTTTCAAATTTGGTTAAAAATGATACATAATTTTGATCAAAGCAAACCAAAAAATCTTGATTAAGCCTTCCAATGGCCATATCACTGCAGCTCCACCCAAAACTTTCCATCCAACCAAAACTCCCATGATATTGGTGGAGCCATTTTTCAGTGGAGAGGAGTGCACATTTTTTGGTGGGTTTAAGTGATGGTAGTGGGTTTGTGTGATGGGTTTGTAATTTTGTTTGGTGGTGCTAGGTTTTATGGTAGCAGTGGTTTTGTGTACTCGGTGAAGAGAGAGATGATGATGGGTTGAAGAGACATGTGAGGGGGCTGGGGAGAGAGAGTGATGAGTTCATTTAAAATGACGTCTTTAAAAAGTCCGTTTTTATCAAATTTTGTGTTGTTTAAACACGTCATTTGAAATGACGTTTTCATGTTCAAGGAGTCATTTGGAATGACGTTTTAAAAAAGTGATTGGGTTTAGGAAATAAGTTTGAAATTGATTAGTTTAGGGAATTAAGATTTTGAGGGGCATGGGTTCATAAAAAGCTCTGCCGGCATACCACCAAAAAATGTGCATAACTCAATAATAAACCATGGAAGGTTCAACACAATTTTTTATATGTAAGTCGTAAAAACCCAATGCTAAACAAAGTAGTAACATTCGGAAATAACTAGAACATATACTTATACTTTCGAATAAACAAAACATCCATAAAAAATTGCTTGAATACTAATATAAAGTATCTTCACATTACCATTCCAAGTCACTTTCTCTCTTCTTCCTATCATATGTGGCATTGACCAAAACCATATTTATTTGAGCAAAGCATGAAAGTAAAGATTTAGGAAGATCAATAGCCCGAAGGGGTCTTGAACAAGGGGGACAAATAGTTCAAAGAAAGTAAGCACACAAATCCCACATAAAAGACAGCAACTGATATATAGCAATCATTAGACCAACAACACTGCCACACTGACCAAAAAATTTACCAAACTTTGCTTACCAAACAAAAGTGGATCGTTAAATCAATGGGTCCCATTAACTTTTTTCAATAGGGCCGACTAATCCAACCATCCATATTCATTTGATAAGCAACTTTCGGTAAACATTTTGGCATGCACATCATCCTTCATAGACCAAAAAGTACAATTGATCTCATGCTAGCCTAAATCAACAAACTTTCTTAAAGGACACCTAAATCAACAAGCTTTCTTAAAGTACAAGTGAAAAATATTTGGACTTTCTCTCCATCACCTTATTGCATTCTTCTCTCCGGTCGATTTTTGACATTATAATCAATCACTTCACCAGTACTTTACCAAAATTTGACACTTAATTCCAGCTCAGTTTGTATCAAGTTTTGCACACAGAAGAATAAATTATTAGACAATTGTCAGGACAGTCAACACAATTATGAATATTGTAATGGTCTTAGGTTGGAAGTGGTTGACATATTAATCCTCTCGCTTTTCACGATACTCATAAGATTGGATATCAGGTGATGGATAAAAGGAAAATGGCAAATATCAGGTGATGCTTAAAAGGAAAATGGCAAACAATTAAAACTGCTGGTTATGAGTACTTCCTTCCAACCAAGTCTGTTAAAAACAATTGTGCATGAAAACAGGATCGAAAAAGTATGGAATCAATCCTTTGACATGTAAGAGTATAAGCTATATCAAATTAGCCTGAACAGCGAAATTTACGTACCATGGACCATTGATTGGGACTGAAGCAAAGCCCTGCCCAACCACCTTCTCCAACACCATGATCCCGAGGCGCTAATGAGTATGTAAGTCTGTCAACATCTGAAAGTGAAGGTGCTCATTCCTAAGTCACTATAGCATTCAAAAGACAAAACCGAACATCAAACCAAATAATTTTAGCTGTTGGAAGTTGATTTCTAACACGACGATAAATGTTGCTGAGACCTAATTAACCCATACAGCACATTAATTGATTTAGCAACACTAAAGTAGCAAAACAAAGAAACAGTTTTCGGCTAATCAACAAGGTGGCACAAAGAGCTTACAAGGCAAAGTTTTGATGTCTTAAATACAGTTGTTTAAAAAGAAATTGCAACACACCCACATAACCAAGCACTATAGAAACTTGGGCCACATAACCATTATACTTAGACGAGGATCATTAACACCATATCCACATAGGGAAGGCAATTGGCACTGCCCACTGGCAGGTAGACCCAGAGCTAAAAAGGTTCAGTAAACATCATCATCATCAACAAGAAGCACAAACAATAAACCGTAGGTACCTCTGCCACTACAATCCAGTTTAGAAACAATAAGGTGACCATGAGAATCCACACTTCCCAACATTAAGCAGCCAGTGCCTGCATGTATCAAAGTGCTAAACTATTATAAAATTCAAATTTGACTGATTTAAAAACAAGTATAAAGAACATTTCGATCCTAACATTAGACAAGTGTGAAGAAACTTAGTGATATTAAGTCCTGCTACAGCTTCAACATTTCTTCAGGAAAAAGGGAATACAAAAAAGAATCCCGAAACCAGTACTAATTCGTATTCAAATTATTGTACAGATTTCATTACTAATTTGTATTCAAATAATCTTAATCCCGAAACCATGTTCATGTGAAGTCCAACTAGGAAACCAACACCTAGACACAGCACAGAAAATTGTGTACATATACGGGTAGGGACCTAGACCTCATATAAAAATTTAACCACAGTGTATCATTCATCATGAGCTTCCATTAACACATACTCTTTCAGTACCAGTAGAGTTGCACATTTCTAAAGAATAACCCCAAGTCTCACCTATGAGTACAACTTGTTACCAGTTTTAAAAAATTTGCACTTCGCATGCAGTGCATCTGAAAAAATAATATCCTACCAGGTGCAATAATGAAGAGGACATATGACACCTGAGAACTCAGTTCTCACATTACTCTATACCATAATTGCTTAGTTGACAAGCATCAATTGTCTATTCAACACACAGTTGCTTACTCTCAGTTTCAGCAAGCACTATACTCTGAATCTCTGACCGATGAGGACAGCGATTGACCAATGCAGAATCCAAAACCTATAAAATTCGGGTTATACAAGATGACATTGTCATACAAAGAGGGTTTTACATGAAAATTAATTTGCGCACTTTTGGAGATATCATGTGTACCTGAATTTGTTCAGGAATCAGGAGGCTTTCCTTTCCTCGACTGACCAATGGGTCTTCCATTGATAACTACAAAAAGAAATTGAGAATATGTAAGCAATCATAAACTAACTAATTCCAACCATGTTCAGCCGAATGCATACAACATTCAACTTTGTCCAAAAGGCACATTTCTCAAACATTGACTAGTCCAGTAAGACAATTCAATGACGATACAAGTCAAATTAAGGACGGTCATATTCTCAAGATTTATGCGAGACAAACTGCTACAACTGAAATTAATTAAATAGAAAACATTTTTGTAAAATGTGACAAAATTAACATAAATATTCTTGTCACTACAGTCGATTTACATAAGTCATTTGCAAAGTTTGAATTGGAATATATTTTTTCCCACTACTTATCTCACCCCTTAAGGGCACCACCGAGGAACTTAGCAACTTATACATCTAAGACCTGCATCGACAATTACAATTTTCCAAAACTAAACCATCGCATCATTGGGAGTGTGCAATGAACCTTCAAAATGGAATCAGGGCAAGTTTAGTTCAAGATTTGAACTTTTTGGAATCCCAATTCCAAGACCACAATTCCATGCTGCCAAATCAAGAACAAGGCCAATCAAGAAGCCTTTAAGTTTCAATTAAATGCCACCTTCATTGCACACATATATAAAACATAATAAATAGCCAATCTTAAAAAATTTGATTTCCTAAGTTTGAATTGAGTCAATTATGCACGAAAATTATCTTATCCAGTATGGGCACTACATGCAACGACTAAACAACGAGCATTGAACCCACTTCTACTGTTCCACTTATTTAAAACTAAGCCAAGATCAAACCCAGAACTATAAGTCTCAGTAACATGTCACCTTCACTGTATGTGTGTGTGAAGAAAAAAGTGGAGGGAATGCAAACCTGGACTTTGTAAACGTTACATCCAGAAGCAATATAGACCCAGCAAGTAGAATCGGCGTCATTGACCTGGGCAAAAAGTTAATGATAAGATTAACAATGGGCCTTAGCTCCAAAGAAAAGTTCATATTTTCATTCATCCAAGTGTTTGTGTAAATGTGCACGAGAAAGAGAAAATTTGATTAAAGAAAAGGGAAAATTGGGTAAGGACATGGAGGGCCAGGCGAGTCGACTGGAGGTTTCCAGGAGAGGGATACTCGATTAGAGACGAAGGAACCACCGCCTTCCTCAGACTCTTCGCTTCTAACATTCTCTCTCTCTGTCTCTCTCCCTTTTGCTTATGCTTCAGTTTCGGTGGTGTGCCAAAGGCGAACTGAAGCAGCAGGCAGTCGCCGCCCGCAATGGATCGTCTGGCTGACTCTGTCTGAATAATTTTTTCAAATTTTTATTTATTTATTTCATATTCTGGTTACATATACTTTGATATACATATTTTTTGTTTGTGAAAATTTTATCCACGTCCCTTTAATTAGGTCTAAATTTAAATATGGTCTCTCCTGATTTTAAAATTTTATTGTCACCCCTCCTCGAATTACGGCGTTAACGGTGATGGTTGATTTATAAAAATATTCTTAAGTATTTTATAACATAATTTTATCCACACCCTTATAAATAAATCTAACTTTAATAACACTTCTTATAAATAGACTTAACTATCAAATTAATGTATTTTATTTAATTTAAACTAAATTAACATTTTATCTCATCAAATCAACATAACATTGATATTTAATTTTATCAAATTAGAATTTAATTATATTAATTTAATATTTAATTAATATTTAATTTCATTAAATCAATATTGATTTGACATTTAATTTTATTAAATTAAAATTTAATAGAATATTAAATTTTATTAATTTAACATTTAACCTTATCAAATTAATGTCATTTTTTTAATTTAATACCAAATGAACATTTAATTTCATTAAAGCAACATTCAAATTTATTCAATTAACATTAAATTTTATCAAATTAATATTTAATTTCATCAAATTAATATTTAAATTTAACAAATTAAGACTAAATTTATTTAATTAATATTAAATAGTATATTTGAAAGGTGATGAGTAAAGAATGGTCGGGTAAAGTTGTAGAGGACAGATGATAGCAGAGAAATTAAAAATTAATGAAATTTTGACATTGATTTTATCGATTGTAATTTTTATTATAGAAAAAATATTTTTAACTATAAAAATTATAAAAACTTGATTATGTAATCAAATGAATATTAATATGATGACCAATAATATAAGAAAGTTATCATGCAACGTTTTAAAATGAAAAATATATTGGGATTAATATAATAATAGAGATCATGTTTGTTGACTAGCTAGGGCATATATAATGAGGAAAAAAAAATTGAGGGCATTTTAGTCTATTCATATAAGAAAGGGTAATTTTTGTATTTTTATAAAATATTTAGTCAAATCATTAATTTATCTATTGATAGATGCAAAAGTTACTGTTCAGAGGGTGTCATTGATTTGAAAGTATAAACTAGAAATAGGTGCAGTGAAATTTCAAAATTAAAAAAGAGGTGTCATTAGATTTAGACCTAATTATAGGGGTTGTGGATAAAATTTTCTCTGTATGTTTTAGGGAGGAAGAAAAGAGAAGAGAACAATGGGGAACCGACAATCACCTATGATCAAGACTCGAGATTGGACTCTAAGGCCATCTCTAATGGAGACTTAAACTTTCACTCAAATTTGAGTAAAAAAAAGGTAAAAAATTTGATTTAGTATATACATTTTTAATAAAAAAACTCAAATTTAAATGAGGACAAATTTAAATCTAAAAGAGGGTAAATATGATTCTTGGATCTTTAAAGAAACGTGTAACCTCACTATTTGTGAAAAGGGTAAAGATTTGAATCTTTCTTGATTTGCATTTCAAAAAGAGTTTACTTTCATTTGATATGGATATGATCTAACATTAGAGAAGATTTTTAAGAATTTTTTTCCATTTAAAAAAAAAATGGTACAAAAAGAGTAAAGGCCAAAGATGCTCTTAGAGTATCTCTAATGGAGATCTAAATCCTTACCCAAATTTGAGTTAAAAAAATGGATAAAAAAACTTGATTTGGTATAAACCTATAGACAAACCTTTTTTTAAAGAAAGAAAAACTCAAATTTAAATAGAGATAAACCCAAATTTGAGAAGGTAAAATATAATTATTGGATCTTTAAAGGAGAATATAATTTCACAATTAAATATTTGAGTTTAAAAAAGAGTTTCCCTCGATTTGAGTTTAAAAAAAATATTTCCCTTCATTTAGTATGAATATGTATATGAGTCTAGTATTAGAGAAGACTTTTAAGAGTTTTTTTATCCATTTTTTAAAAAAAAAGTTTACAAAAGAGTAAGGATCGAAGAAGGTCTTACACTATTTGTTATAGTGAAAAATTTGGTGGATGAAAAGTCAATGGTGGAAAATAGAAAGGAAGGAAAGTGTTTTCATTGTTTTGTTTCAAAGGAAAATGTGATGGAAAGGAAAAGTGGGAGAAAACTGCATCACTTCCACCCACCATTTTCGATCCATCCATTTTTTGGGCAGAAAGCTGGAGAGAGAATAGGAGCTTCGAATGGGAGGCTAAGCTAATTAACTAAAATACCCTCGAACTTTTTTGTCTTTTAAAATGTGTGCACACAAAACAATGCATTTATGCAAAGCAATTGATTTTTTTTTTTTAACTTTCCAGCACATTCTAGAACCCATACGTAGTTTTGATGTGTTTAGGACTACAAAATACATCTATAGTTTTTAATTGTGCAACTGATATTACATTTTTCTATATGGGTCAGATTAAAAATATGAATTTGTGTTGGAACATATTTATTCGATAATATAGCAAATTAGGGCTTTGAACTTTCATGTCATGGTAAAAATTATTTTCTTATTTAAGGGTAAAATAGTAAATTAAAGGTATTTAGTTTTGTCTTTCCTTTCATTTTTCTTTTAATATCAAACAATATAAAGTTTATCCTTTCAATTTTTCATGTGTAATACCAAATAAAAAAAGAAAGAAAGGGGGTTTCCTTCCTTCACAAATGGAAAGTTCATCCCTTCTCCTTTTTTATCCCTCATATTTTCTATCCTTTCAACCAAACATAGGATTATTATTGGGTCACTTTATCATCTCTTTTCTTTTGTGTGTTAGAAAAGGGTAAAAAGAGTGTTTATTAAACACGTTGTTTCCATTGTCCATTCTTATTAATTTTAAAAAAGGAATTGTTGACTTTTTTTTTAACAAAAGCAGAGTTGTTGACTGTATTTTTTTAACAAAAGTGGAACTTACTGTGCTCGCTTTTAAAAAGTATTATAGTTTGATAAATAAGTTTAAAAATATTATTTTTTAATATATTTATTGTAAAAGAGCTATACTCTGGTAAATAATTGGATTGTGGAGAGGGGCGGAAAACCAACTAAAGTAGGTAGAGGGGGTGTTCGGGTCTCACATGTAATGTTTGCGGATGATCTATTGTTGTTTGGGAGGACAATGATAGATAATTGTAGGGTGATTAAGGACACCTTGGACACATTATGTGTGTGTGTAATTTATGACCAAAAAATTAGCTTGCAAAAATCAAAGGTCCTGTTTTCCCCAGATTGCACAGACTTTGGTATGCATGAAATGACAATTGATGGGACTTTTCTGAAATACCCTGAAATGAAGACACGTGTCCTTGGTTCTACTAAAGTACTGTTGCTAAGATCAAGCACCATCGGCGCACGAATGTCCTCGCCCCCGAGGTACCGTCATATAGGACCGACACATGTCCTCGGTCAAATATATACCTCGGTTGGCAACCTCCCTCGGTCCCCGAGATGAGCCTTTCCTCGGTGCCGAGAGATACCCTCCTGGACACTTCCTCTACTCCAGGATAAGCTATTGACGTGCAGGTCATTAGCCTAGGCTAGTCTAGGCTATTCATCATGACCTCGTCTTATACAAGTAATGTCAGAACGTACTGGAATACAGAGGTCACAGCCAATAGGGGATGGACGCGTGGCATATGATATCACATCAGAGACAGACAAACCGCATGGCGTTGCTGACACGCGACTTGGGAAAGCAAACAATTAATTGCACCATCCCTTGATGAGACCACATTCAATGCGGTAAGGCTCGGAAATGAAAGGCAATAAATGCTCCTATTACAGAGCATTTATTGCATCATCCCCGAGAGGAGCATATTGTACCGTCGGCATCCCGACGACCCAACATTGATTGCTCGGGACCCCGAGCAGTTAATTAGAGAAGACATTCCTCGTCAGAATCAATGCACACGCTACCTGAGCCTAATGATCACCTACTGACGACATTGACAGCAATCATGAGCTTTTCAGATATAAATACTCCTTGCAAAAGGCAAAGCGGGTATGCAACAACAAACTCTCTACTATAATACACAACACACTTAGTGTTTTCTCCTTTCTCTCTCTCTTTTTCTCAAAGACTGACTAGATCGTCGGAGGGGATACGCCGAAAAACACTCCGGCGCCCTTCTAACTTGTTCTTCTTTGTTCCAGGAACCTTTTCCAGCCTTACAGGATCGTTCCTCCTTTCCCAGGGTCTCCCGTTGCCGTCCCCGGTTACCACCGTACCTTGCAGGCTGTCCCAAGTAGCGTGCCTGATCACTCAACCAGCCCACTCGAAATTCATCAAGAGAGAGATCTGTTTTCATTTTTTATATTGTGCAGGATCTTGCCCGCACAACAACCTTCTGGGATTAAGGAGACAAAAAGTCTAGGACTTTATTTGGGAGTTCCATTAATGAATAAAAAACCAAAACTAAGGGATTTCCAATTCATAGTGAATAAAATGAGAGAAAAGTTGGGAGGTTGGAAGATTAAGGGTGTGTTTGGGTAATAGGGTGGGATAGGGTAGGTTTTCTTTTTTTATATTCTAACCAATCCAAGCTAAACCCACTCATCCACTTTAAAACTCTAACCCAAGATTATATTCAATCCTAACCTTTGTTTGGGAAACAAATGTATAATTTAGTGGGTCCCATAGATTACACAAATAATTTTATAGTAATTTACCATTCTACCCATAACTCTATCCATTCCAATCCAAACCAATCATATCTTATGTTTGGTTAACTCATCTAAGCCTAATAAAATTATACATTTTTCACATATACTTAAAAACATATAAAAAATTATATATGATTTAGATCTCTTGTTTAATTTTTTAGTTTTATTTCAATAGATAGTATAATTATATACTAATTACGATTTTTTAAGAAAAAATTAAATTTTTAATTTTAATTTTATTTCAATTAATAATATAATAGAATATGAATTTTGATTGTAAAATAATATTTGATATTCTATCTTTGAATGAAATATTTTTGGTCTAAGTATAATATTTTAAATTTAAGGGATCTGAGTATTATATACCTACTACAAACTTCAAAAGAATTTAAGTGTAATTTATTAACGAATATATTAATCTTGAGAGATCTAAGTGTTACGAATGTATAAACTTGAGAGAACTTGTGCTTAATATTTTAAATATCAGGGGTCTGAATAATTAAATGACAAATTTTAGGGGATCCAAGTATAATTCTTCCTAGATAAATCCATTAAACTCAGAAGTCAGAATAATCCATTTGCCAGTGATGGTCTGCACCTCCCATATACATCCCATCGTCACCATTAAACCCACCACCACTGCCACCAAAACTCACCGCCCCATCTCTCCCACCACCACCACCTCCACCTCCACTCCCATCTTTCTCCCCTTGCCTACCATCACCCGTTGAGCTCTTCTCCCTTTCGCCAAATAAACCTTCAACGCAACAGAAAACGCCACTACCACCACCATAATAAAAACACCCACCACCACCACAATTCAATGCTTCCTTCAGTTCCAGATCGTACATGAAATCTAGATTTGTTCCTCAAAAATCTGTTCTTCGAAGATCATCTTCTTCGTTCTATCCACACGAAGCAGAAAGTTTGAGGGCCTTAGATTATTGTCTTCTTCCTCGCCTCTGTGCAACAGGCCTTGGACGAACTCAGCACCTTCTACGTTCTGGTTGATAGGAGAAAGAGAGAGGGCTGAATGGATGGAGAAAGAGAGAGGAGGGGCAATTCTATCTATGGTGGGGTTATCCTGTTGGCTGGGTTTGTAACCCATGGGGGGTGGGTTAAGTTTAGACGGTATAGGAGGGGTAATGGGCACTGTAGCAACCAAGTTAAGGATTGGCCCAAAATTTTAATCTAACCTCAAAAATGACTTCCCAAGGGTTTTGTAAGATCCATTGCACAATTAATCTATCCATATGGGTGTTAACCCACTTTAACCTCCTATCCAAACACACCCTACTTACTATCACTGGTAGGAAGGGCTCCTTTAATCACGTCAATCACCTTTGTTATTCAACAGTATCAAATGCAAACAACGAAACTCCCAGGGAAAATTTGCGATGAAATTGATGAGTGTAATAGGAATTTTTTTGGGGTTCATCGTATGAAAGAAAAAAAGGTACATTTAGTTAACTAAGAACATATCACAAAGTCTAATACTTCGTTTGGTATGATAAAAAAATAGAAAGATAAAAAATTTGAAGGATGAAAAATTAGAGGGATAAATAAAACATCATGTTTGATAAGAAAAAAAAATATGAAAGATGAAAAAGTTGATGAATTAACTTTCCTTCCAACTCATCAAAATTAATCTCTCCAAAATCGAAAGAAAAGTAGATGTAAAATTAATTATTTGTCTATATATCTTTTTATATCTATATAATAAAATAACTTATAATTCAAATCTCAAATAATAAAACAAAATTACTTTTACTATTCGCAGTTGAGATCGCTTTAAATTTTATTTAAAAATTAATCTGACGACTAATATTAACACCCTAAATTTAAAAGAAAAATAGGGTCCTAAAGATGTGTTTAAAGTGACTTTTTAAAAATATTTTTAAAAATTATTTCTCATAAATACTTTAAAGTATTTGAAATAGCGCCCCACCATTACCTGTACCACCACCACCGCCACCATCAGTGTCGTCGTCGTCGTTGCCACCACCACTGTCATCACCTCCCCACCACCACCACCACCATCGTAGTCGCCACTGCTGATGCCACTATCATCGTCGTCGTCACCACCACCGCTACCGCCATCATTGCCATCACCACCACCACCACCACCACCACAACCTCCACCACCACCATCGTCGCCGCCACCACCACCGCCATCGCCACCATCACTACTGCTGTCGCCACCACCACTATTGTCGTCGCCGTCGCTACCATCATCTCCGCCCCCGACCTCGCCATCACCACCATAACCATCAGCGTCCCCTATCACCACTATTGCCACCCATAACCTCTCACCTCCACTATAAATCGATCCTTAAATTCTTTTATCTCTTCTTTATGTTTGTGATTTAATTTTAGATATGAATACAAATATATTTATTGTTTACCATTTTTTATTATTTTGTACCTTTAGGCACAAATAATAACTAATATATATATAATTTAAAAATAAACAAAAAAATACAAAAATATAAAAAGAAAAAGAAAAATTTTAAATTAAAAAAAACTTTCCATCTTAACTAAAGATAAAAATTTTTGACTTAAGATAATGACACAACTTGAACTCGACATAAATTTTATAATACAAACTTGATTAACTCGAATACAAACATGACACAAAAATAAACAGATCAACTCGTAACTTGACGCAACACAATTAATTAAATAAGTTGAATTAAGTGTAACTAATGTTTGACACAAACCCGTAATGACTTCAAACGAATTTGATACAACACGACTCGATTATTAACCTAATCTTAACTAGCACCAAAAAAAAAAAAAATTAGTCATCTTTATTTTCTATCTATCCAACCAAACACAAAAAAAAAAAAATATATCATTTCTACTTTCCTTCCTTGAAGAATAGAAAATACGTTCATCTTACTTTCCATCATTCCTATTAAATAGAGCATAAGAATGAGAGGGAGTTAGGGTAAAAATAAATGAAATTCAATTGGAGATACCTAGAATGCAAAAATCAACTGTGGACCATGACCTTAGAAAAGAAATACCTCGGTAGCAATGGTAGAGAAAAGAGGGCAAATCACTCGTGTTTGGTCTAATATGCAACATGGTAGACCGAGCCTTCTAGCAGGCATGAAATGGACCATTAGGAATGGCACAGTGGCCAATCTTTGGCTGGACAATTGAATTCCTAAGCTTACAACCACGGTTAGCCATGCTCTTGAAGTCTGAGGCATTGGTAGGATGAAAGGCCCCGCCAATAGGCTGAGTGAAATTAAATACAGATGTAGCAACCCTAAGGTGTCAAGGTTGCAGGAGCAGTTGGTGTGTGCAGTGATTGTACTTGGTGTCTACTCCGTGGATTTTGGGGGCAAAATAGAAATGGTAACTAATCTTGCTACTGAACGTTGGGCCCTCAATCCAATACTTCGTTCTCTACTTTATTTTACTCATATGCATACATGTAAGTGGATTCAAAAGGTCAGAGAAGTCTACTTCAAAAAAAGCTAGGCAAGCTCAAAAAACCTCATTCTGTTGTTTTAATATTAAATGTTTCCAAAAGAGTAAACAATGTATTTAGTTAAAACTAATTTGAAATGTAAGGCTGCTGATATGAAAAAATAGCCACATCAATTAAAAAAATATATATCAAACAAATTGTGAGTTCGTAAGTATTACTTCACAAAAAGAATGTCACAGGACAACCCTTCACATGAGATAATAAATACTTATACTTATCTCACCTGTATAAAGAGGGAAAAGAAATATGCCAAAAGAGCTCACTAATAAGCATTTACAATACACAAAACTAGTCATATTGTTTCAAAGACAGACTAGTTCTCGTAACTATTACACATTGGCAGTGCCTTGTTCATTAGACTACCAGCTGAACCAATGTACATTTACAAAAGAAATAAGGATCTCCAGACCGACATCACACTGTTTATGATCACTATACAAACACTACGCTCATAAGAAATGCTAGGATCAATTTCATAATAAGAAAAATGAAACAAAAGTAATATAATTAATCCAGTGGCAACAAGAAGCAAGTCATAAATCAGGGCTAAGCGGTAACGAACACTTACAGAATATGCATTCATATACATATGACAATGTTTGGTTAATTGGGTCAGGTTGAGTTTAGGGCTGACAATGGGCAATCTGAGTTCAAGCAAGGGGTACCAAGATTCAGCCCAACCTGAAATAAAAAAATCCCAAACCTGATCCCCTTAGGGAACCTGATTCAGTACTTGGCTAAAAAAACTCGTCGAGTTTCAAACTGAGTTCAAGCCAACCCAAATAATCACAAGAAATCCAGCAAATTACAACTGAAATTCAACTAAATTTCATCAAATAATCATCCAATTCCACAAATTTGGCTCCAATCTATATAAACTTTCGTCAAAAATTTCAACTTTTTCAACAACAAAATGTCAAAAAATATAAATCAGAACTTACCTGAACAGAGTGAAGCTCAAAGCCCCACACACACAAGCAAAACAGACTGTTGATCCAGGTACAATAAAAATCAACTAATCAAAAACAGTATCTGTCGTAATATTTGCTTGCTTTAGAATTAGTAATTGTAATTTATAACAGCTTATGGGAAACCATTTAAGGTCTTGCACATGAAAGTTAATAAAAAAATTACTTACAAAATTAAGTTCTTTAAACTTATCCCCTGGAATTTACATTAAATTACTTTGGCCAAGACATAAATTGAATGGAATAGCAGTAAAGCTAACATAGTTCAATTTCCAAATCCATTCTCCCAACTCCAATCCCTTTCTGCTTCTCAACAACCAGCAGTATCCATGCCCACAAAGTAAACAAAGAAAAAGAAAGAGATCCAATCAAACCAATCGCTTTCATGGGCCAATTCTTTTCACTCTAAGGTGACTGTGTTGCACTTCAAACGCCTCCTGCCAACCACCAAGAATAACCCACAAAAAAAATGCATACACAGCCAACAAAACAAAATAAGCAATAATAAACAGGGACGAGAGGCACAAGTTTCACTTAAAAAAAACTTACATTAACATGGTAATAGTACCAGGCTACGTTTAAAGGCCAGGGGTGGGCATATGTCTTTCTGCATAGGCGTGTACATGAGCATGCATGTGATGTTCTATATAACAAGAAAAAACAAGATATAGACCATAGAAGTACTACTAGGCCCTCAGATCTCATAGCTATCATAATTTCATTGATGGTTAAGTCATGATTTTCATTGTAATCCATCCCCCACAATAATAATAATAATAATAATAATAATATGATGATGATGATGAGGACGATGACAATGGTGGTGGTGGGAGAGGCTTACAATGAAAAACCAAATCAACCACTCCACAAAATGAATTTCCATCATCGGGCATTTAGCCAAATATTATAACAACATAGTAAAATATCAGCCAATTAATATGAACCTATATTGTAATTCTATATACATGAATGTTGCAATCTCTACCAAGAGCTGGAGAAGGTACTATTACATATATGTGTAGATACACGCACACACACATACACACACAAAAATTACCATTCTGGGTTGAGCCAGGCTAGCCAGCCAATGGCCACTGATTTGACCTAGGCTCATCCCAAAATTAAGTTGTGTCAAAATTTGTTCTAGGCCCAGCTCATTAACCAAATGTTATGGACAAGGCCTTGATTTTCCTGGGGACCGCTGATAGGGGCTCCAACTATGGCAACCCCAACATTTAACATCTCAGCAACAAATAAGGTACTGATTTTTTTTAACAACACTTACACGGGGAGAGGTTCGAAACTGAGACCTGATGGTCCAACAGAGGGGCTTAAGAGACCCGTAAATAGTTTATCAATGATATTTGAGATTTAGGGTTTTGGGTAAAGGAAGAATTTTTTTTCATGCAATGGATCATTCTACTTTTTCTTATCATGATTTCCAATCAACTTATATAAATTTCCTATTTCTAATTCAATAAACAAAACAAATAAAACAACATCTCACAATACAAACATATTCCAGTTTACTACTATTCCTTTACAATGCTGATCTATTTACATTGCAGCTGCAACAAATAAAATAAACAAAAAAGGGGGTTAATGTCAGACAAGTGATGG